TGAAGATTATCGACCAATTAGCCTTGTAGGAAGTTTGTATAAGATCCTATCAAAAGTTTTATCCAAGAGACTTAGCAGCTGTGTTGGTGACATTATTAGCCCTTTCCAGTTTGCGTTTATACCAGGGAGACAATTGTTGGACTGTGTATTTGTTGCAAATGAAGGGATCGATTATTGGAGAAAACAAGGTCTACAAGGGGTTGTTTTCAAAGTTGACTTTCGCAGTGCATATGATTCTGTTGAATGGCCGATTTTGAACAGAGCAATGAAGGAGATGGGCTTTGGTATTAGATGGTGTTCGTGGATCTCACAGTGTCTCTCTTCTGCTTCGGTTTCGGTTCTTGTGAACGGTTCCCCTTCGGAAGAGTTTACTATGGCTAAAGGACTAAGACAAGGTTGTAGTCTCTCTCCGCTCCTATTTAATATTGTAGGTGAGTTGCTGCATTTGATGCTAGACAAAGCAGTTGACAAAGGACTTTTCCAAGGTTTTGTGATTGGGAATTCTGCGGATTCACTTCGGTTATCTCATCTTCAATTTGCCGACGATCTCATCATTTTTTGCCAAGCTTCACTTACTCGGATTAAAAATGTCAAAAGGGTGTTGAGGATTTTCAGTATAATGGCGGGGTTGCATCTAAACTTAAAGAAGAGTAAACTGTATGGTGTAAACGTTGATGAGGATATTTTATTAGACTGGGCATTAGAAGTGGGCTGTTCTGTTGATCGTTTTCCCATAGATTATTTGGGTCTTCCAATCGGTGCTAAGAAGAATTCTGAAGCTTTATGGGATCCTGTCCTTAAAAATTTCAATTCAAAACTAGCGGGGTGGAAAGCTTCTTCTCTGTCCTTAGCTGGCAGGACAGTTCTATTAAAGTCAGTGTTGACTTCCCTGCCAATATTTTTCCTATCTTTCTTTAAAATGCCTTGCAAAGTTGGGAATAAATTAAACTCCTTAATGGCCAGATTTTTATGGGGTGACAGTGCGGAAAAAAGGAAGACCCATTGGGTTAGTTGGGATACAGTTTGCAAACCAATGAACAGTTGTGGCCTTGGGGTTCATGACTTGAATCTTTCTAATCGGGCATTATTGGGGAAATGGGTGTGGAAGTTCGCAAATGAAAAGGATTCCATATGGAAAAGAGTGTTATGTAGTAAGCATAATATTAGTAGTAATACTATGTCTATTAGTAAGGTCATTTCTTCAAAATCTTCTTGGAATTTGAGAAGTATTGCTAATAATTTTTTGAAGAATGATACGGCGGGTGAGTGTCTTAGATCATTTTCGAAGTTGCAAGTAGGCAATGGTAAGTCCATATCTTTTTGGACTGATCCATGGGTGGATGAGGTTCCTTTAAAAATTCTTTTCCCTAGAATTTTTGCACTCTCTACTAACAAATGGGGTAAGGTTGCTGATTTTGGAAGCTTTGAGTTGAATGATTGGCAGTGGAACATTATTACTAGGAGGAATTTGTCTGATTGGGAATTGGAACAATGGTTGGATCTGATGATGAAATTAAAGGAAATAAAACTCACTGATTCGGTTGAAGATTTTCTCTCTTGGTCAGCAAGTGGTGATGGGTTATTCTCAGTGAAATCGTGCAGGAAAGCTCTTGGTAAGGAAGTTGGGGGTATTGATTTGTGGTCAAAAGGGGTGTGGTTGGGTTTGTCTCTGCCTCGTGTAGAAGCTTTCCTATGGCAGTTAGCTCATCAGAAGGTTGCAGTTAAAATGGAGTTAGTGAAAAGGAATGTCCTTAGAAGAAGATATTCTCTCCTTTCTGCAAGGAACATGAGGTCTGTGCAACACTTATTCATTTCGTGTTTTGTAGTTTGGGAACTATGGAATAAACTGGCAAGCTTCTGGGACTTGTCTATTGTGCTACCACAGGACCCTCCTTCCTTACTCAATTCGTGGGGGAGTTTGAGGTTGAATTCATTGATTTGGAAGTTTATCCCGGAAGTCGTTTTTTGGTCTATTTGGAAAGCAAGGAATGCGATTGTGTTTGAAGGTTTAAACCTTGATAGACTGTCTCTCTTTTTCCTTGTGAGATTTAGGTTATCTAAATGGTTCCTAGCCAAGTATCCTAAATTCCCTATTCAGGAAGATCTGCTAATTGGGGATCCATCACTTGCTGATGATATTTTTGTTCCTAAACTTAAAGATCATTCTGTTATTGGCTGGCTTCCTCCACCTGTTGATTTCTTAAAGATGAATGTTTATGGAGCTGTTAGGTTAAATGACTCAATTGGAGGTATTGGAGGCATTTTAAGGGACTGGAATTGCTGCACTTTATTGACTTTTTTAGAGAATATTGGTCAAGGTACCCCATCAGTTACAGAGTTAAAGGCTATTAAAAAAGGCATCGAAATTTTTCTAGCTTCAAGTTGGTCTGCTGCCAGTAGATTGGTTGTTGAGAGTGATTGTAAGTCAGCAGTGGAGTGGATTCACACCCTGCTTTGGCACCAGTTTTCATGTTGCCTCTTGTTAGAGAAATTCTGTTGATCCTCTCTGAAAAGGTGGTTTTAATTAGGTTAATTCCAAGGTCTTGTAATGGGGAGGCAGATAGTTTAGCAAAGCAGGGGATCGGTTGATTGTATGTTTTAGTTATAGTTCATTTTTCTATGGCTGTAGGTTCTTGAAGTAGCTGAAGTTGTTAAGTCTAATGTAAAATCATCTGTTGTATTGTTAAGTCTTATGTAATTCTGGTTTGGTAATAAAATGAGGCACTCTTTTCCTCCCTCCACTACTTGATCCTTTCTATTAGGAAAGGGTCAACTATGAGGGAGGTTTTTAACGAGGCTTCCTATTCCTATAAAAAAAAGATTAATTTTTGGCTCTTGACTGTTGATATTTGCTTTCTTGACCTTGCTGGAGTGTCTTGGAGTTGTATTTATATCCACTATCATAAATTTACCATTTGAAGTTGTCGGAGTTGCAAATAGCCGTTTATAGACATGAATCAATGCATGTAATACCTTCTGCAACAGAGTAAGACATTTAATGCCTGTGTTTGTGACCTTTAAGCTTAAAATACCGATACTTTAGGGTAAGTATCGTTCCTTGTGCAATGCTACTGATTGTATGATATCTATACTCAAATTATTTTTCTTCAAAAATTCAAACATTGAATCGAAAAAATTGTATTGATACACGGTGAGGGTATCGATATTTGGGCTTTGGTTCCAGAAACTTGAAAAATTGATTTGTAAAAGCCTTTTTTATAAGAAATGAGGCCTCGTTAAAAACCTCCTTCATAACTGTCGTGGTACATAAGTACCTCAACGGACATTGGAAGGAGGAAAAGAGTGCCACAAATTTTATTGCCAAAAAGAAATTACACCTCAGACAACAACATGATATTACAAACATCACCCACCAACTTAACCTCATCCTCTATACACATCATCTAAACAAAAAGTTACAAAAAAATTACCCTATACCTGACTTAGCCAAACTATCAGCCTCCCAATTCACAACCCTTTTTACAAACCTTATAATAACACTATGATCCGGTACAACACTGAATTTCCTTAACTAGCTGTGAAAACACGGCAGGGCACACTTTCGGAGTCTTAATCCACTTCACTGCAATTGCAGAATCAGTCTCTATAATTAATCGACCCTTTCCACACCACTCTGACTCCACAAACATAGCTAAACCAGCTTGAATGGCCTTCAACTCAGCTAAAATAGACGAACCTGGACTAGTAGATGCCGAGAAGGAACCCGACAACATGCTCTCTTCATTTCTAAGAATTCCACCAATTCCACTGCTTTTCCAATCATTTCTCAGTGCCCCATCCACATTAATTTTGAAGAAACCCGGGGGTGGGGGACTCTACGAGACCGATGAGGAGTTTACCTTCATGGACGGATTTCTTGAATCAGCCAACTTCAGGTCACCAACAAGGCAATCTAAGATAACTGGAAAATTAGGAAATTTCGCCGAAAACCACGCAGCCACTCTATATCTAGAAATAAAGAACAAATGTTTAAGATCTAGACATCCTTTCTCTAAAACCAATTGGTTTCGACACTTCCCTACTGACCACAAGACAGCTTCCGGAATAAAATTCCAAATAATAGACTTTGTTAAAGCCTTTGGAAGATGTTGGTAATTCATGCAAACTAAGTTTGATAAATTCTAAATAAAAATATGTACATCATTAGATACTTGATGATGTATTTCAATACGGCTTGTATTTATATTGTATTCAAAAACATAATTTATTCGGATTGGATTAAAAATCCGGGCTCCTACACTCCGCTGTTTGAATCGTTGGTTAAAGAAATTTGTGCTATAATTCAAGATCGGGATATCATTGTTAGGCACATCCCTAGATCTACTAATTGGGAGGCTGATGAATTGGCTAAGTTAGGAATTGGATAAGCTATTGGTTTCTGATATAGGAAGAGGATTTTAGGCTAAATGTATTTTCTTTCGGGTTGTATCTCTTTGATTGTTCTATTATTTCTCAAGTTTAGTAATAAATAAAGACACTCTTTTCCTCCTTCCAATATCTGGCATACTACTTTGTGTAGCCTGCTGGTATGAAGGGTTTTTTTAATGAGGCATGATTTTCTATCATAAAAAAATGAACTTTGAACAAATGTTGTAAAAAGCATTAAACTGTTGTCCATGTTGATTTACTTGGTAAACAATTAGATATTTAGAGGATACTATTGCTTCTTTCAATAATCTGAGAATCTTTGGTTACTATTAAATAAAATACGTAAATGCTATTATTGTGAGTTGTGTGCCTTCACATGAATTCAATTAAAAATATGATGCTTTTTGCTATAGTTGGTAATATAAACCTTTATTATTTGAAAGAAAAGGTAATTTAAGAACTTTTACTAAGATTAAAAGTTGGATACTTTAGCTTAAAGCTCTTTTTGATTCCCTTTCTTTGATGCTTGTTTCATTATCATATAGAGCTTTGTGTTGGAAAACATCAAAATATGTGTGATTAAGTGTTCTAATATTGATTACTTAGTTCAGGATCTTGGACGCGTATCGAACTGGGCGAGGGCGTGTTGTAGTTAGAGGAAAAGGCTGACATTGAACTGCTTGACTCTAAAACTAAGAGAAGTGCAATTATTATTAAAGAGGTGATTATTTTGATAGCATCAGCTGTAGATATTTATTTTTCTGACATTGTACATGGGTAGCTTGTATGCTCTCCTTATATAATATCTTGAGAATGGGGCAGATTCCTTATCAGACAAACAAATCCTCGCTTGTCGAGAAGATTGCTGAACTTGTCGAGAATAAGGTATATCCATCTTATTCAAGAATGTTAATCTCTATTCTTTCATCAAATCATTATATGTGAGAAATTTGCACTTCTTTGAAGTATGGCATGTTGGTTGCTTTTACAGTTTTATTCCCTTAAAAACTTTTATACTCCTACAAAAGTAGAGTAAAAATAAGGATATGAAGTGAAAAATACATCTTTGTCCTCTTTCAAAGTGACTAGCCAGAGGGAAATATCATTTTAAACAAAATACTTATTGCACTCTGGGTACTGTGCTTCTGTTTAGTTTGTCCTTGATAACACAGCTTGAATTTGGAATACACTGCAAATATTTTCTATCCCTATCATGATTCAAGTGCAAATGTTCCCTGAAGAAGATGCTTAAGTAGGGACAGGAGGTTGTTTGTTATAACGAAATTAACTTAGAGGTGCTTCAATCTGTCCAAATCATACATTAGTGGAAGCATAAATCAGAAGTCTTATTATCTCTGTTCATAAATGGTCCTATCCTTTATTCCTTTTTAAAAACATAAGGGAACTTAGAATAGTGTCTATAGCAAATTAATTATCATTTTACCTTAAATTTGTAGTAATAGTCTCATAAGCTTCTAATCCATTGCCTTCTCAAGTTTGTATTTCGCCACAGTACTTCAATTGTGTTGGATTTTTCTGCCATACCTTTATTTGTTGATTTAAAAAAAAATAACAGTGAAGGAATATTCATGGATATATAAATAAGTTTAGAGAAGCAGAAATGGAGATGTGAAATTCACAATTCCACAACAATGAAGGACGCAGAAACATCCAACATGAAAATTCTTATGTTTTCTCTTCTCCAAAACTTTTACTGCAGAAACTGATATTCCTTCACCTTTAGTATTTTTCCAAAAAAAAATTCAAATTAAAAATATACTGACAAAATTCAGCATTGAGTATAGCATAGTGTCAATTTTGATATTTATCCCTAATGTATTTTGGTGTATTGTTCTGGAATTAACCCGGTAAATTATCTTTATCGTTACTGCATTTACTTTAATTTTTTAACAGACTCTAGAGGGCATCAGTGATATTCGTGATGAGAGTGATCGCAATGGAATGCGTGTGGTCATTGAGGTATGATATGTTGGATGTTGTGCAGTTCCATTTCCAGCTGGTAAATACACCTTTCCTTACCTTGATTTTCCTTTTCTTTTGGTTCACTCCACAGCTTAAGCGGGGAGCTGACTCATCTATTGTGTTGAATAATCTTTACCGCCTCACTGCTCTTCAGTCTAGTTTTAGCTGCAATATGGTGGGGTGAGTCGTTTATCTGTTATATATGGATATGATTCAGGCCATGTTGCTGTTGAGCTTTTTTTTAAACTATCAGCTAAGTGTGTGTGTGTGTGTTTTTTGGGTTTTTCTTTTCTCCTACTTTGGGAAGAATACCTTAGTCGTTGGCTTATGTGTATAAATTATTCAAGTTTCTTCTATGATGCATGCTTTTTCATGTTATAGTTATCTAAGTTTGTGATGGATGCTCTACCTAGAACTATTTGGTAAGAAGTTAAAATGTGTCATCCTTACCTATTTTCTACCTCTCTATTTTCAAAATTCCGTTTAAGGTAAATCAGAAACTAAACTCAGTAATAGCTAGATTTCTTTGGGGTGAAGAGTCAGACAAGAAACGGGTTCATTGGGTTCATTGGAATACGGTATGCCAACCATTTGAAGAGGGTGGCTTAGGAGTCTTGGACTTGAGTTTGGTTAATAGAGTTTTCCTTTGGAAATGGGTTTGCTTGAGTTTGGTTAATAGAGTTTTCCTTTGGAAATGGGTTTGGAAGTATGCAAATGAGAAAGACTCTCAGTGGAAAAAATTAATTTGCTGTACGCATAATGTCAGTAATTTATCTCTGTCAATATGCAAGGCTGTTTCTCCTCAAGATTCTTGTTATGGAGAGTATCTAAGTAACTATGAGAAAAAGGACGAGATAGGGGTGTGTTTGAGGTCCAATTCGAAGTTTCAAGTGGGGAACAATAGGTTAATTGATTTTTGGAATGATGTTTGGGTCAATGGATCTTCTTTAAAGATTTAATTCCCTAGGATTTTTGCTCTTTTGACTAGCAAAAGTGGAAAAGTGGCTGAATTTGGTGCCTTTGAAAATAATGGTTGGGTTTAGAACATTCAGCTAAGGAGGAATCTTTGTGAGTGGGAATTGGATCAGTGGATTTCTTTAATGCTTTTGATTGAGAACATAGTCCTGAATGAATTTGTGGATGATTTTCTTGCGTGGTCGGGGAAAGGTGACGGTTGTTTTCGGTAAAATATTGTAGAATGACTATTTCAAGTAGAACTGGAGGTTCTTTTCAGTGGAGTAAGTGGGTGTCGTCTGGATTGGCTCCTCCTAGAGTGGAAACATTTATATGGCAGATTACTCACCAAAAATTGGTGGTTAGAGTGGAATTGAAGAAAAGAGGGGTTACTCTAGAAGATGTTATGTGTCCTTTATGTCATAATTATGAGGAAACAATTCAACATCTTTTTATATCTTGCTCGGTTTCTAGCTAAGTTTTAGGTTGGCTAAATGGTTTCTAGCTAAGTTTCCACATCTCAAAATTCCAGTAGATGTTTTGGTAGGGGACCCCTCGATTGCAGACAAGTTTGATCTTAAGAAGACACAAGATGAGATTAATTGTTGGCTCCCTCCCGACAGATTTTATAAGTTTAATGTCGATGGGGCTGTCAGGTCGGATGGAAATGCTGGAGGTATTGGAGGTCTTTTGAGAGACTGTAATGGTATAATTTTATCGTCTTTCTCTGTTAGTATTGGTCCAGGACCTCCGCCGTTGGCTGAACTGAAGGCTATTAAAAAAGGCCTAGACCTTTTCGTTTCATTAGCTTGGGCTAAAAAAGGAAGGCTGATCATGGAAAGTGACTGCAAATCTGCAGTAGAATGGATATTGTCACCTATTTCTGTTCCTAATTTTTTCAGTTCCCTGATCTTAGATATTGCTGCCTTAGTTCGGGGGAGGGCGGTTATTATTCGATGGATTCCTAGGGGCTGTAATTGGGAAGCAGATAAGTTAGCTAAGGATGGGATAGGTTAATTGTTATCTCTGTTGTAATGTATGTAATACTCTCTTTATTAAAACTAAGGCACTCTTTCCTCCTTCCGCTAGATACTTCTGTCAAGAGGTAACCAAGAAGGAGGTTTTTAATGAGGCCTATTATTCCTATCAAAAAAAAATATTTTGCTCGGTTGCAGAGGAGTTGTGGTGTAGATTTTTAAGGTTTTGGGATATCACTTCAGTTATGCCCCAAGATCCTTCTCCCCTTCTTTGTTCTTGGTCTTATCTAAGGGAGTATTCTACTATTTTTAAGTTTATTCCAGGAGTTGTTCTATGGTCTTTATGGAAAGCTAGGAATTCAGTGGTGTTTGCAAACTGGAAATTAGACACTGTATCTCTGTTCTTCATTTCCAGATTTAGGTTGGCTAAATGGTTTTTAGCTAAATTCCCTCATACTAATATTCAGGTTGACTTACTAGTGGGGGACCCATCGCTTGCAGACAGATTACCTATTAAATCCGATGAAAAGAAGGTTCTCTACCGGTCTCCGCCTCCTTCTGATTTCTTTAAATTCAATGTTGATGGAGCGGTAAAAGGTGATGGGCTGCAGGGTGGAATTAAAGGAGTTTTGAAAGATTCGAATTGTTCTACTTTAACTACATTTTCTATTGCGGTGGGCCCTGGTCCTCTTATGTTAGCTGAGATGAAAGCTATTAAACAAGGAATTGATTTATTCCTTTCTTCTGAATGGGCATTGAAGGGAAGACTAATCCTAGAGAGTGATTGTAAAACATCAGTTGATTGGATTTTGATGCCATTTTCTGCCCCTACGTTTTTCAGTACTTTGGTTGGGGAAATTGGGGCCTTAGTTTCTGCTAGGGGTATTATTGTTAGATGGATTACTAGGAGCTGCAATTGGGAGGCAGACAAGTTAGCTAAGGAGGGGATTGGTTGATGTTTAGAGCTTTATGGTTATTTTGGTTTGTATTTTATTTCGGGAAGTTTATTATGTAAGCTGTAATCTTATGTAATTATGGTTTATTAATAAGACGAGGTACTCTTTTCCTCCTTTCGCTAGTTGCCTCTTCCACAAGAGCCAACTAAGAGGGAGGTTTTTAATGAGACCTCCTATTTCTATAAAAAAAAGATATTCTGAATGTTCCGTGACGTGTAGATACAATGGACTTATTGTATGTTGTGAAACTTATTGTGGCGTGAACATTATGCATGGGAATAACTAGTGATTTAGAATACATAGAACGCTTCGCGAAACTTGCAAGAATGTCCATCAACTAGCCTATCACAGTGGACCAGTAAAATCTTTGCACTTTCTTTTATATAATGTCCAGCTTTGTGGTGTTATCTTTGGCTATAATTGGTTGGTTATATGTGGATAGATTTATCTTGTACATCTTAAGAACCATAAAACAATTATACATATACTAGTGTGAAGGGTAGAAATAAATGCAGAACTTGAAATTTCTTTGTACAACCAATATGGTGAAATGTTTTGGAACAACAAAAATTAGACTTTTGAAGTGGATGATTGCTTGTTTATGATTGTAACTGATTCTGTTTTAATTCTATATTACTATTCCTGTTCTAATGATGTGTTGAATGCTTCTTTACTACTTATCTATTATAGCGCTTCAGGTGAGTTTTTTATGCTTTACATTGTAGTCCACTTTTGCCTTACATTACAACTGAATTTAAAATTGTCTTTTGTTGTTAGTTATTCTCTCCCCTAGTCTTGTAAACTACATATGGGTATTGAATCCTTTCTACATCAATATCTAAAATGTGTTATTTTTCCTGATATTTATTAGTTTTGACAAACTTATTGCAGTGTTTGGTTTCTATCCTTGAAAGTATGAAATAGACTTATATATATAATTAGCCAGTAGCTTCGACAAGTCTCCCAGAGAAGTAATAGAGGCTTAGAACATGCAGATTGGAGGGTTGGGATCATAACTTTTGGTTTTGTGGCTGTAAATCTATAGCACTTACATCATGCTACAAATATGTGTTTGTATGTGATAAGTAAATAAATTTGGTCATGCTACAAGACTCGCTGATCATTTGTCTCTAACTATATATTTTACTGCCATCATGCTAATTTGTATATTACTTCCATTAGTTTCCACAACACATAGAACAACTCTACCTATTCCTAAATGTATCTATGTTTGGTCATATGTTGATATATGTTTTTGTTTGCATGTATAATATACTCTTCTCCTATTTCTATGACTTTTTGAAGTTCCTATATAGAATAAAGCATTACTATGTGCATCTTATGCTATATTGTCTTCAATTTTCACTCTTGTTCTTCTTCCTTGCAGTTGCGCTATTATTGTATCTTAGCAGCTTTTCCTTTGGTTTCGTTTTTACTTTTTATGTGTTTTTCAGGCATTCTTAGAATTTAGATGCTCTGTCGTTGAGAGACGTGCAAGATACAAACTTTCACATGCACAAGATAGAAGACATATTGTTGAGGTATGTATGCAAAATGGGGTACATTTAAGACTAAGAAAGATAATGTGCTTGGCATTCCATCTGTTGATGGTCTATCTATTTTCACATGATTTGTGTGTATATATATCATTTTTGCTAGTGGTTTCATGTACTATCACCATTTTGCAGTGTTAGCAAATTTTTATGTTTCAATTTTTTCATTTTGGAATGTGCACTCAGGGTATTGTGGTAGGGCTTGATAATTTGGACAGAGTAATTGATATAATCAAAGAGGCTTCTAGTAATGCAGCTGCATCAGCTGGCCTGAGGAAGGGTAATGCCCTTTAATTTCTATATGTTCTCTTCTTCTCTGATTGAATGGTCTCATTTCTTTAACATATAATTGATATGTAATGGAATAAAACAAAACACTTCTGCTACAGGATGTGTGACTTGTAGATAAGTCTACGCAGTTTCAGTCTGTTATCTCTAGATAGCTTTTAGTTAGTTAGTTAGTAAAACTTTAGGATCCTATAAAAGGTTTTACTTTGTAAATGTTTTATATAATGAAAACGTACCTGCGACAGTGGCAATTTTAGTGTGAGAACGTACCTAAATTTCAACAGTTTCTATAGGATGGTTTTATCTTTATCTAATGAGATTTAATGCATTTAGGTATCATTTTAGTCTTTGCTTATGCATTACTATTTGATTTATGAGTAGTGTTTATCTAGTAAAGAAGTAAATTTGCACTGACTACCATTAATTCTTATAAAAAAAAAATTCTTGAATGTTTTGAGCTTATCATGAGGGGTACAGGTAGCCCGTACAAAGTATCTGTAGAAAACAGATTGTAGAAAGAAAACAGACTGTAGAAAACAAACAAGTCTGTTATTTTATTCTTGCATACTTTCAGTAGAAACATATTACATTATTTATATACAAATTATGCCTCTAAACTAAGTTAGGAAAGATACTAATCCTAGGAGATGTAATCCCTTGAAATAAGGGTTTGAAAACCAAAAATAATTACAGAATCTCTTAACAGCTCATTTTTATAATTCCGACAACCTTACATCACCTACACTCCCCCTCAAACTGGTGTATATATGTTGTATATACCCAGTTTGAATGATAGCTCATCAAAAGTCACTCGTGGAAGGGCTTTGGTGAAGATATCTGCCAGCTGTTTCTTCGTCGAAATGTACTGCAGTTTTGTAACTCCATTGTTGACCTTCTCGTAAATAAAATGTCTGTCTATCTCAATGTGTTTCGTTCTATCATGCTGCACTGGGTTTTTTGCTATACTCATAGCTGATTGACTGTCACTAAAAATCTCAAAATTCTTCTTGTCATCTAAGTCCAGTTCTGTGAGCAGTCTTTTAATCCACATTCCTTCACATATTCCGAGAGCCATTGCTCTAAACTCTGACTCAACACTACTCCGAGAGACAACAACTTGTTTCTTACTTCTCCAAGTCACCAAATTACCCCAAACGTAGGTACAGTAGCCACTAACTGACCTATCAGTTAATTCACCTCCCCAGCTTGCATCCGTATAAACCTTCACTGTTCTGTCTGGATTTTTTCTAAATATAAGTCCAGTTCCTGGGGTAAACTTCAAGAACCTTAGAATTCTGTTAACAACTTCCAAATGTTCTTCTCGAGGATCACTGATATGTTGGCTGACAATGCTCACTGAGTATGCAATACCAGGCCTGGTCAGTGAAAGGTAGATCAACTTCCCAACTAACCTTTGGTAGGTTTCCTTGTTTACTGGATTTCCAGTCATTTCCTTGCAAAATTTCAAGCCTGACTCCATTAGAGTTTCAACTGGTTTGCAGTCGAGCATCCCAGTTTCTGCAAGAAGATTCAAAACATACTTACGCTGGTTTATGACCAGCCCTTTCTCGGATCTTGCAACTTCCATACCCAGGAAAGACCTCATACTCCCTAAATCATTGGTTTCAAACTCCTTTGCAAGATTGATCTTTAGCTTTTCTATTTCTTTTATATCACTGCCAGTTATAATCATATAATCTACGTAGACAATTAGGAGGGTTATCTTACCACTTCGTGTAATTTTTTTGAATAATGTGTGATCCGCTTGGCTTTGTTTGAAATCGTTCTGTGTCATAGCCTTAGCAAATCGATCAAACCAAGCTCTGGGAGACTGTTTTAAGCCATATAAGGATTTATTGAGCTTGCACACAGTTTTCTTAGTGACGTTTCCTTCTAATCCGGGGGGGACCTCCATGCATACCTCTTCTTCAAGGTTCCCATTCATAAAAGCATTCTTTATGTTAAGCTGATACAATTTTCAGTCCATGTTAACAGCTATTGATAACAATATTTTGATGGTATTCAATTTTGCAACCGTTGCAAAAGTCTCCTGGTAGTCGATGCCATAGTACTGAGAAAAACCTTTAGCAACCAGCCTTGCCTTGTATCTTTTCACACTCTCATCTGAATGATATTTGACTGTGAATATCCACCTGCATCCAACAGCTCTCTTCCCTTCTGACAAATCTGTCAAACTCCATGTCTTATTCTTTTGCAACGCTTTTATCTCCTTTTCCACAGCCTTTTTCCACTCAGGAGATTGCAATGCTTCTGTCACATTTCTTGGGATTTTCACATTGTTAATGCTGGTAGTGAAGGCCCTGAAATTAGACTGTAATTTCCCATATGCAATATACTTATTTATGGGATGAGCAGTGCATTTTCTTACCCCCTTCCTAATAGCAATAGGAAAGTCATTTAGATCAACAGTAGCCCTCTGGTAACCATCATTACCTTCTGTTTCAGCTGCAACAGGATCCGAATCTGGTTCTTGGCAAATGTTAGGCTGACTGATTTCTTCAGCAACATCTTTCATTCTTCTTGAGTAAACAATGAGTTGTTTCGGTTGGGGAGATATGGTTTCAGGGTCATTGTTAGGTGCATTTTTGGTAGTGGTGGAAGGTGTTTTGCACGGACTAGAGTGCTGAGATAAGGAGGATGGTAATTCATCAGAGTTATTTAGGTTATTCCCATCACCCTCACTAGGAACTGGGACAGTTCTAGCCGGCTTTGGAGAGATAGTAATAGGTAAAGAAATGATAGATTGTAAAGAAATATTGGTAGGCTGTAAAGAAATATTGGTTTGAACAGGTTGAAATTCCTTGTTACTCTCCCTCTGAATTTCTGTTCTTGAAAAATAAGGTTGGTTTTCAAAAAATGTAACATCAAAGGAGACATAGGTCTTTTTTGTGGAAGGTGAGTAACACTTGTAACCCTTCTAACTCGAATAATAGCCCAAGAACACACACTTTATGGACCTAGGATCTAATTTCCCTTTGTTGTGGATATGAACAAAGGCTATACACCCAAATACCAGAGGAAAAAAACTTGAGTTTAAATGTTTAAAATGGGGAAAAAGCTGAAACAAAACCTTAGTAGGAATTTTGAAATCTAAAGTCTTACTTGGCATTCTATTGATGAGGTAAGTGGCTGTAAGAAGAGCTTCCCCTCAAAGATACTTAGGAGCATTAGCAGCAAACATAAGAGACCTAATAACCTCTAGAAGATGTCTATTTTTCCTTTCTGCTACTCCGTTTTGTTGAGGTGTGTTGACACAAGAAGTAAGGTGAACAATGCCTTTTTCCTTAAAGAAATGCCCAAGGGTTTTATTCATATACTCACTCCCATTGTCACTCCTTAGAATTTTGATTTTTGTGTCAAATTGGGTTTCAACTTTTTGATAGAAACATTTAAAGAGAGACTCAACCTCAGACTTTTCTCTCATTAAGAATACCCATATTGTCCTAGATTAATCATCTATAAAAGACACAAACCACTTATACCCATAAATACTTTTGACAGGAGAAGGGCCCCAAATGTCACTATGGATGATGGAAAAAGGTGTTGTTGGTTCAAATTTGGTTGCAATATATGGTTTTCTGGTGTGTTTGGCTATTTGACAAATTTCACAGGAAAACAAAGATGGATCTTTATTTATAAACAAGTTCGGTAACATTTTGGAAAGATAGAAAAAATTAAGATGACCTAATCTAGAGTGTCATAACATAATTTTATTGATATTGAGATCAGAAGATAAAATTGGTTTCCTAAGAGCACTGGATAAAGCATGATTATGAGATACTTTACCTCCAAGGGTGTACAATCCTTTGCCCTGCCCAGTACTACCAATCACCCTCTTCGAGCTCTGTGCCTGAAAAATGCAACCATCAGTACCAAACACAACACTACAACCAGAACCTTTAATTAATTTGCTGACTGACAACAAATTGCATGCAAGTCTAGGAACATAGAGGGCATTATGAAGTAGTAGATTTTTGTTTAATGTAACAGAACCACTCCCTTTGACTGTATTGAGAGAGCCATCTGCTATTTTGATAGAAGCTGATAAGCTGCTTTCACTATATTCCTCCAAGAGATCAATATTTCCTGTCATATGATTTGATGCACCCGAGTCTATTATCCATTGTACTGAGGAAGCATATGGATTATTTCCATCAGTAGCAGTATAAGTCACATTGGTAGGCTTGGCTGTTATACTACTCAAAATCTGCTACAACTCCTCTATCTGTTTCTTGCTAAAACTGCTTGAGGAATCATCTTGAGAGGCAATATGAGCCTCCTTTTGAAACCTGGACCGTGTGGGCTGTCAATCAGCTGGTTTTCCGTGTAGCTTCCAACATTAATCTATCATATGGCCTGGTTTATTACAATGTTCACACCAGAGGCGATTTTGCCTCTGTTGCACTGAAAATCTGAAAAAAAGATTGAGAGGGGCTGGTTGGGGAAGTGATTTCGGATGATGTGGGATCCCGATTAGCCATGAAAAAAAAATAGAGTTGAACATGAATTGATTTAAAGAGAAGCGAAAATCGGATTGATCGCTCTAACCTGATTCCATGTAGAAAACAAACTGTAGAAAGAAAACAGACTTGTAGAAAACAGACTGTAGAAAGAAAACAGATTGTAGAAATAAAACAGACTGTATTGTGGAAAACAGACTGTAGAAAACAGACAAGTCTGTTAATTTATTCTTGCATACTTTCAGTAGAAACATATTACATATTTATATACAAATTATGCCTCTAAACTAGGAAACTCTAAGTTAGGAAAGATACTAATCCTAGGAGATGTAATCCCTTGAAATAAGGGATTGAAAAACAGAAAATAATTACAGAATCTCTTGACAGCTCATTTCTATGATTCCTACAACCTTACATCACCTATAGTATCTTTAATAGCCGGAATGTTGTTTCAGTTCCTGCCTTCCTGGTAGACTTTTAGCCAATTTTTGGGCATTGTAAAGATGCTTAATTTGCAATTATTTTTTTTTTGATAGGAATAGAATGCCTCTTTAAAAACCTCCCTCTTAGTAGACCCTTGCCCATAGGCAAGAACCAACTAGTTGAAGGAGGAAAAGAGTACATAATTTTATTAAATATAAAACTTTTACATAAAGCTTAAGAACTCTCCAGCCAAATACTACCAACATAAAACACTCCTGACACACTATTCCTATACAAACCAACTAAATCCATGACTACAATCACCCAATTCCCTCCTTCGCTAACTTGTCAGCTTCACAATTACAACTCCTAGGAATCCACCTGACAATAGCATGAATTAAAGAAACAGAAGCCACAATTTCCTTAACAAAATTAGACAGAAAAACCGGGGCAGAAACTTGATTAATGATCCAATCCACTGCTGTCTTTGAGTCACATTCGATAATAAGCCTGCCCTTCAACACCCAATCTGAAGAAACAAAGATGTCAATGCCTTTTTTAATAGCTTTAAGTTCTGCTAGAATAGGTGTGGTAGGCCCGACACTTTCAGAGAATGAAAGAAGAGTAACCCTATAAACATCTTCCTATCAGTTAAGAGGGTTTTGTCTTTTTATTATGTCAGGGAATAGAAGTTAGTTTTTTCTTTTTTTTCTTTGCTCTCTCTCTCTCTAGAGTTTGGCCTTTGTTTGACACAGTTGATATTTGATTTATCAGTTGACTACCATTCAATGACTAGAGCTAAATATCATTCATTCTCTATTCGTGTTGCATTTGCTTGATGTTGGTTTTTGTTATCCTTAATTATCATTCATTCTCTATTTGAGTTGCATTTGCTTGATATTGGTTTTAGTTATCCTTAATTAATATGAAAATTGATATTATTTGATTTTGACTGGGTTTTTGGTACAAAAATTCATCATGGTGCAAAATTCTCTTTTTGGAATCAATGAAGTTATGCGTTCGGTGGTGTGGGATTTGAACTTTAATTTTTGTCAGGGCTTTAACATCAAAGAAGGGTTTTGTTGGGGTTTTCTCCAAATTTAAGAGGCTGTTTCTTCATGTGCCTTGTGCTAAGATTTTGGCCAAAAGAATTTACATATCACAGAAAGCTATCGTCACTAGACATAGTTCTTTTTTTTGTGAGCAGAATTCAATCTTTCTGATAAACAAGCAGAGGCCATATTGGATATAAACTTAAGACGTCTTAACCTTCTTGAGGTCTGTAGCTGCAATTTATATAAAAAATTCTGAATTTGTTCGTTCAATATTATTATGTAGGTTGTTATTTTCTAATAATATAATCTGAAATATATCATATATTTGTTTTTCTGCAGAGAAAAAAGTTTGTTGATGAAAGTGCATCATTGATGGAACAAATCTCAAAGATACCAGAACTATTATCAAGCCGAAAAAATATATTGCAGGTAACCTTTTATTTTTTAAGCTATGATTCTGATTTATTCTTTGATTATCATAGTTAAGATGCTTGAAAATGTAATTACAGTAGAGTTCGATTGAGAGACTGCCAGAACATGTGCTTGTGGTTCTGTTAGGTTGGCCACTTCTTGGTCATTTGAAATCTTTAGATATTTAGCTTGTCTCATCTGTTGTATTTAACACAATTTAATTGATTGTAGAAACATATCGTGCTATGAAATGTGTTTGACATGTATATATGATGCACTCCCTGCCAGTCAAAAAATAAAAGAGCACAAAAGAGATCTTTATGTTTCTGCTTCTTTCTTATAGTCTGATCTAATGTTGTTCTATCTATTATGAACAAAATTAATTCTAAATATCTGTTCAATTTGCCTTATCTTTGAAGTTCTATTTGGTAAAAAAAAAATTGGTTTTTTTTATTTAGAAGAAGCCTTTCAAATTTGATATGAAATAATGGTTTAAAGATGTATTTTCCCAAATGGGCACAACTCTCTAATCTATACCTGGTTCAGGTATTCTGCAATTTTTCTGGCTTGTCTTTTTATTTTTATTTTTGTCAACCTGTTGTTTAGCTAATAGAACAAGAAGCAATCGAGCTAAAGAACAAGTTCTCCAGTCCAAGACGTTCAATGCTAGAGGATTCAGATGGTGACCAACTTGATGACATAGATGTTATTCCAAATGAAGAAATGCTGCTGGTAACTGATGAAATTGATTTCTCCGTGTGAACAGAATCTTGTCTGTCATTTTACATCGTATTTGAAACAATGTCATAGTATATTCTTTTGCTCTTAATTATGTGTCCTTTTCAGGCATTCAGTGAAAAAGGTTATGTTAAGCGGATGAAGCCAAACACTTTCCATCTTCAAAATCGTGGAACAATTGGTAAATCTGTTGGAAAACTTCGTGTTAATGATGCAATGTCCGATTTCATAGTTTGCCATTCACATGACCGTGTGCTGTATTTCAGGTACTTGTATCTGCTACCCACCTTTGACTTGAAATATATTTATCAGCATTAGTGTTTATTTTTTCTCATGTTAACATTTGATTTCCCCAATTTTGGCTTCTGCTTATTTCTTTTCTTGGTGTGTCGGTGGATTTGGATCTTGTGATAATTGAAAATAATAAATGAATTTCAACTTTTCTTTGCAATCTTTTTGTTTGTTTTCATGGGCTGCAAAATCCTTGCTGCAATATTAATATACTTAAATAGTTTTAGGATTTATCTATTCTAATAGTCCTGCCCCTTTTCTTTTTGCTTTCATGTTATGGTTTCTATTATTTTTTATATTTACTGCTCCAGGTTTAATGTAGGTTGAGTTGCATGGAAATTGTTGTTGTTGAGTTACTATGAATGCCTTTTCTAAGAAGAAAGGAAGGGAAATTCACGAAGAAAGAAAGAGAGATTTTGAATGAAAAGAGGAGAAATTCTGTTTTGTATTGGATCTAAAATAAAAGAATCAGCCTCCTTTTATAGGCTAAGAATTACAAAAGTAGAATGTAACTAGATATCTTTTTCTTAACCTCTCTCTCCTAAGAACTCATCTTATTTTTAAACAGAGAAAACCTAATCCTAAGTTAATTAGAACTCAGAATCTAGGATGAATAAATAAAACATAATCCTAAGTAAATTGGAACTCAGAATTTAGGATGAAGAAGAACTTCTTTTCTACTAATTTAAATCACAATCTTATAAAAAAAAACTAATTTAAATCACAACTGCTTTCCACACTCCCTCTCAAGCTGGGTGTCTATGTTGTACAAACCCAGCTTGGACTTGAGTTCATCAACGCTCGTTCTTGGAAGGGCTTTGGTAAGAATATCTGCAAGCTGTTGAGTAGGAATATAGTTTAGTTTCACTGTTCCATTTTTTACTTTTCCTGAAATAAAGTGGATGTCAACCTCTACATGTTTTGTCCAATCATGATATATATGATTTTTAGCAATGCTTATAGCTGATTGATTATCACTTTGTATCTTGAAGTCATCTTTTAAATCAACTTTTATTTCTTTTAAGAGAAAATCGCCTCAGTGACCAAAAAAAAGTTATAATATACGATTTTAACCAACTTTTTTTGGATTTGCGAAAATGACCAACAAAATCGCAACGCGATTTAGAAAATCGCAACGTTGAAAAGAAAATCGCAACGGTCAAAAGAAAATCGCAACGCGATATTCCAAGAATCGCAATGCGATTAAGAAATCGCAACGCGATCTTCCAAGAATCGCATGCGATTCAGAAATCGCAACGCGATTCCAAGAATCGCAACGCGATTAAGAAAATCGCAACGCGATTCCAAGAATCGCAACGCGATTCCAAGAATCGCAACGCGATTCAGAAAATCGCAACGCGATTAAGAAAATCGCAACGCGATTCCAAGAATCGCAACGCGATCAGAAAATGAGTAAATTCTTTCAAAAGCTATGTATTTGTTTCTTTCTTAAGAATTTTCTCTAAAAAGATAGTATCCGCGGACGTGTCGAAGACACGTATTACCACGACCACGACCACGACCACGACCACGACCACGACCACGACCACGACACGCCGAGAGACGAGACGGCGGCAGCGCGCGAGAGTCCCCCTTGTTCTCTTTCACTCAACAAAAATGGGAAATCCAAGCCTTAAATACTCTTCCCAATAGTGTTTCCAATACTATTGGGATTGAGCATTACTCAACACTTCAAAGAAAATAGCAATTTTGTAGCATGTTTCCCGCTTAATCCATATTTAAAAATATTAAAATTTTATCATATTAAACTATATGTATAGTTTGAATTGAAATGTAGATATCTACAACTCTTTTAATTCTCTTGATAAAATGTTTTAATATTTTTAGATATGGATTAAGTGGGAAAATACTACAAAATTGCTATATTTTCTTTGAAGTGTTGAGTAATGCTCAATCCCACATAGTATTGGAAACACTATTGGGAAGTGTATTTAAGGCTTGGATTTCCCATTTCCTTGTTGAGTGAAAGAAACAAGGGGGACTCTCGCGCGCCGCCGCCGCCGTCTCGTCTCGTCTCGTCTCGGGTCGTGGTCGTGGTCGTGGTCGTGGTCGTGGTCGTCGTGTCGTGGTCGTGGTCGTGGTCGGGTCGGGGTCGGGGTCGCGGGTCGTGGTCGTGGTCGTGGTCGTGTCTGTCGGGTCGTGGTCGTGGTCGTGGTAATACGTGTCTTCGACACGCCGCGCGGATACTATCTTTTTAGAAAATTCTTAAAAGAAACAATACAATAGCTTTGAAAGAATTTACTCATTTTCTTAATCGCGTTGCGATTCTCTTAATCGCGTTGCGATTCTTGGAATCGCGTTGCGATTTTCTTAATCGCGTTGCGATTCTTGGAATCGCGTTGCGATTTTCTGAATCGCATTGCGATTCTTGGAAGATCGCGTTGCGATTCTCTTAATCGCATTGCGATTCTTGGAATATCGCGTTGCGATTTCTTTTACCGTTGCGATTTTCTTCAACGTTGCGATTTTCTAAATCGCGTTGCGATTTTTATTTCGCGTTGCGATTTTGTTGGTCATTTTCGCAAATCCAAAAAAAGTTGGTTAAAATCGTATATTATAACTTTTTTTTGGTCACTGAGGCGATTTTCTCTTCTTTTAATAGTCTTTAAGTTCTCATTCATTCACAAATTCCTGAAGCAAGTGCTCAAAATTCATCCTCTGCAATACTTCTTGAGAGTACGAACTGTTTTTCGCTTCTCCATGTGACTAGGTTGCAGCAAACAATAGAGTATTAACCAGACCTCCTTTCAGTTATTTCTCCAGCCCAGCTTGCATCAATGAATATCTCTATCTCACGATTTTCATTCTTTTTGAGGAATAATCGGTGTCTTGTAGTCATTTTTACGTGTCTTAGGATTAGGTTGACAACCTCTAGGTGTTCTTCACGTGGATTGTTCATGTGTTTCCTGACAATGCTTTCTAAGTATGCAATATATGGTCTAGTATGTGAGAAAAATTAACTTGACGACTTATCTTTGTTGACTGGACTCCTTCACCCTTAATTTAAGATTAGGATCCATGGGAGTTTCTGCTTGTTTGCACGTAAGCATACCTGTCTTGTTTAACAAGTCGAGCACATTCTTTCTTTGAGAGATCACAATTCTTGCTTTAGACCGAGCCACTTCAATCCCTAGAAAGTACTTGAGAGCACCAAGGTCTTGATATCGAAGCCGGCAACAAGTAACCCTTTTAGCTTGATTATTTTGTCTGTGTCATCTCCTTTTAGCTTCAATCCCAATGAATCTATTGGCCTGTACATTGTTTATGGAATTGGCCTCTTGATACAATGGGTTTCTGAAAGTTGTCAAGTTTTTTAACTTGCTTGTCTTGCTGCTGCCCATTAATATGGATTTCTGCTGCATCTCCTAACTCCTAAATCCTAACAAAAAATTTTACATCATAATACCCAAATGCTTTTTGCAGTGATAGGGGAATAGTGTACTCAGCTTATGCATTTAAAATTCCAGAAAGTAGCCGAACTGCTGCTGGAACACCTTTGATCCAGGTATTTATTGTTTTGCTATCCTCTTTTTTTTTTTTGATAAGAATGACAGGCCTCCTTAAAAACCTCCTTCTTGATCAAAGAAGGAGGAAAAGAGTGCCTTAGAAACTTTATTACTCCTCCGAAATTACATAAGATTTAACGTAGACACCATACTGAAAAAACACAACAGACTAAGCTACTCAACATAACCGAAAACCTAAACTCAAACGATAAAACGCACTGGAAACGACTAAACATCAACCAATTCCCATCTTTGCTAGACTATCAGCCTCCCCATTACACACCCTTGGAATCAGTCTAATAGAGTGCACCCTGTAGATAATTATTTTCAGCGCTGACTAAAGTCAGCTTGTGTATCATGCGACAGATCATCTCTTTATCTGAAGGAGAGAGAATAACATCGATTGTTCCTGTGAGTGAGTTTGCTGAAGACCAGTTTCTAGTGATGCTTACGGTGAATGGCTACATCAAGAAAGTGTCTCTGAATTATTTTTCATCTATTCGGTCCACAGGAATTATAGCCATTCAATTGGTCTGTCTTTCTGTCTGCTTTAGCTTTGAACTTTAAGACGAATCTTTTTTTTTTTTGATAAGAATTGAAGGCCTTGTTAAAAACCTCCTTCTTAATTAATGGAGCTTGAAAGAAAGCTCCTTAATCATTGGAAGGAGGAAAAGAGTGCCTTAGAATTTCATTCAACAACTTAAGTACATAAGATACATCCAGGACAACACCCCTGTGTAAATCAAAAACCATACAACGCCCTAAAACAACCAAAAAACAACAACACTAACTTGGCCTAAACCTAGAAAGCTAGGTCCCTCGCAACTGAAGGTGCGTCCTGATTACCAAAACTAGTGAGGAAATTACAAAGTAATAACCTATACAACCCGAATAAAGATCAGAAAACAATAGAACAAAAAACCTTCCACAGTCAACCAATCCCCTGCTTAGCTAGCCTGTCAGCCTCCAAATTACAACTCCTATGAATCCAATTAAGAACACAGCCTTTATCATAAATTGCAGCTCCAATTTCCTCCACCAGATCACTGAAAAAGAAAGGGGCAGATTGCAGTTTTAGAATCCACTCCACTGCATTTTTGCAATCACTCTCTATAATTAGACTTCCCTTTTTAGCCCAATCAGACGAGTAGAAGAAATCATTTCCTTCCTTAATAGCTTTCAGTTCTGCCAAAATAGGAAGACCAGGCCCTACTGCAGAAGAGAAAAAGGCTAAGGAGCAGCTTTTAGAGTCTCTCAAAATGCCTCCAATTCCGCCTTGCATCCCATCTCCACTAACAGCCCCATCCACATTCAGTTTAAACACATCCGAAGGAGGAGGAGTCCAGCCAATAACCTTCTTAGGAGTAGAAGAAAGATGAATTTTATCAGCCCTGGAAGGATCCTCTATAAGTAGGTCAGTCTGAATCTGAGCATTAGGGTGTTTTGCTAAAAACCATTTTGCCAACCTGAATCTAATAATAAAGTACAGCCCCGATCTGTCAAATTTCCCGTTTTCAAACACAACCAGATTCCTTGCCTTCCAAATTGACCAGAAAACAACAGCCGGGATAAACCTCCAGATATTAGAATTCTGCCTAAGGTCCCGCCAAGAACAAAGAAGGGCCGATGGATCTTGGGGCAGAACAGAAGTGATTTCCCATAACCTTAGAAAATTGATCCACATTTCCCTAGCAACAGAACACAATAAGAACAGGTGTTCTATGGTTTCTTCATGGGAATGGCATAAGGGACAAAGCACATCCGCCATGGGAATCCCTCTCTTTTTTAGTTCCACTCTCACTGCTAATTTGCGATGACAAATCTGCCACAAAAAAGTTTGAACTTTAGGAGGGGCCAATCCAGCCCAGACCCACTTATTCTACTCAAAACTCCGTTCAAGACTGCCATATAACGTCAATCTACAAGACTTGACCGAGAACAAGCCACCCCCCTTTCCCGATCAGCCCAGAAAATCATCCACAGAACCAGAAAGCTTAATAGTGTCGATCAACGTCATTAATTCAATCCACTGTTCTAATTCCCAATCACAAAGGTTTCTTCTTACCCCTCAAATATGATACATCTCTTACCCCTCAAATATTAATATGGCAGGTTCCTGGTGATGAGTTAAAGTGGGTTCGTTGTTGCACAAATGATGACCTTGTTGCCATGGCCTCACAAAATGGAATGGTCATTCTAAGTTCCTGTGATATTGTAAGTGACTGCCTTATTCGCTTTTAACATATTTGCAAGATTTGCCGAGTATTGACATAAGTAAATCGGTGGCTTATTTTGGCTGTCTATCTTATTTCTCTGGTTCTATTTCTGTTAAACTGTTCATATTCGTACTTTGCATAGCTCAACGTAAAATTGAGTAAAGAGGCCTACTGGAACTATTAGGATCAAAACTGGGATTTCTGAGTATTTAGACCTCAGTCCTTTATATATACTGTGAATTTCCTTCGTCTTTGCTGCCCTCTGGAGTCTCGAAACTATCTTTACTTTGCTTATCATTTTTCATAGTTCTCTCTCTTTTCTTCTCCTCCTTTTCCTTCCTACTTACGTGGAGGATATTTTCCTATGGATTGGTAAACAAAGTGCAGTTCTGGAGTTTAAGATGGAATTTCTGAACAAAATGCAGTTTTGGATACAGTAAAGATAGTTTTATGATATTCCCAGCTCAGAAGGAAATTTTTTTTATCTTTTGTTTCCCTCGATATGCAAAAACTCTCAAACAATAAATCTATTCCAATCCCAGCAGCACAATTATATCTGGTCTAGTGGGATGAGATGCTAGGCCCCTTAGACAACGTCCAGGGTTCGAATCTTGGCCATCACAAATGGAGCAAGCTAGGTTGGGAACGTCATCCTCATAATGAGCCTTTGCAATACCAAATCCGAATTAGTTAACCAATATTGGATGCCGGAAAAATAAAAGCACTTTATATCAATGAACTTAGAACTTTTGGCCTCGAAGCACTATATATCAATGAAATTGGATTTTTGTTTTGTTTTTTAAATTAGCATCTTTGAATTCCTGTTTGTAATGGTATCCCTCTAGTAGTTTTCAGATACTGCAATGAGAACTTATGACTTTTAATCACCTAGTCCTTAGGTGATTTTTGTTTTTGTGTCCTAAAGATTAAATACAACAGATTTAGAGGATAGCAGGGAGTATTCCTTTATTTGTTATGATATATCATGTAGTATGTAATTATTCTTGTTTCCTGATGTTGTGTGATCAGATCCGAGCACTAAGCAGAAATACTAGAGGAGCTATTGCTATGAGACTGAAAGGAGATAAGATGGCTAGCATGGATATCATACCAGCTCCAAGGCATAAAGATTTTGATAAGGCAGCAGAAGATTCCATTAGCAAGTAAATTATTTTGAACAAAGCTTTCTGATTGCTTAAGGCTCTAATTGTGAAGCTAACCAACATTGTCAGATAATAGTTTCCTGTTGGATTTAGGGGATTTGTAAATTCAAGTCATAAAATGTTTAATAATCTCAAAAAGCTGCAAAGTTGTTGCACTGCTCCTAAATTTGTTTCCATATTGTCCTCCCTGACCCATTTTTGGTAATGTTGGCCATGCAATGGTTGACAAATAATTTTTTGTTTAGAATTTAAACAGGACCTCCGATGTTCTCAACTTTAAGTTTCCTCTACAGAACTGTCTGCCAATTAGCTAATAATGCTAAAAAAATTCAGGGTTTATCTATGTGCGGATTCACTCCAGAATTATGGGCTTAACATTTTTGCTTTTAGTCCTCAATTTAAAGTTTCCTTTGTCATGGATTGAATCTATTCCAGCCAATGTATTTTGTTTATTTCCTGTATGTTATCTTTCAATTTATCATGTTTGATGAGGTCTGTGTCCATTTTTTAGTTGCATTTGGTCTTAATGCATTCCTGCTGAGTTTACTTTCTATTTGTTGTTCTGTTTAACATTGGGCATTGGCTTTCATTTATTATATTTATGGTTATTTTCTTTCCTCACATAGTGATAAGGGTGGCAGTGGCCCATGGCTCTTGTTTGTCTCTGAGAATGGCTATGGCAAGCGAGTTCCATTGAGTAGTTTCAAACAGTCTCCTTTGAACAGAGTTGGTTTAATAGGTTACAAGGTACCGCATGACATTGAGTGTTTACATAGTTTTTTGTTCTGCCTGATTCTTTTTTTCCGAATGATAACACATGTTTGCTCTCTTCAGTTCTCTTCAGAGGATCGCTTGGCAGCTGTCTTTGTGGTTGGGTTCTCATTGGCAGGTAAATTACATAATTGGTGATTCTCGTGTAACGTACTTGTAAAAGCTGACAGAATTGGTCTTAATTATTAATAGTGCATATTATGATGATTCTCTCTCTGTCTTCAGAGGATGGTGAAAGTGACGAGCAAGTGGTTCTAGTGAGCCAAAGTGGTACTGTCAATAGAATTAAAGTTCGGGATATCTCAATACAGTCTCGCTATGCAAGGTATAATAAGTAGGATAGTTTATTTGTGCAAGCGGTGATTAGTTTGCTGACAATTGGTGAGCTCATACGTAACCGACACATGAAAATACCGCATGTGCCTCTGTTCTCCCTAAAAATATATTTTAGTTGTATTTTCAAACGGACAATTTTGTCCCAGATGACATCCTTCATTGGAGACTCATCTACATACTGGTCCTGCATGAACATTATCTACGGTTACTGCAGGAAAGCCTTCGGGATTTAGTTAGTATTTTAGTACAAATCTTATAGTTTCTCGGAATTGGCTATTGAATGCATCTGTCTAATTTACAAATCTTAAGTACAAATCTTATGGTTATTGAATGCATCTGTTTAGATGAAGACATTATAGTTTGTCGGAATTGACTTATTCCTTACTGATCATTTATAGGCCCTTGTAGGTTATCTAGGAATATAGTTCAGAAGTGGAAATTTGCAAGTCTTGAGTAGTCTTGTTCTCTGTGCTTTTCCACATCCTCTTAGTTTAATTTAGTGAGGTCATATTTGTCAATATGTTTATGTATATGTTGCATTTGTTCACATATTCTGCGTTACAAAATTTAGAAGTGGACATTATTTTGCTTATCGATGACTTTGGATCAAGTATAACATCTATGTTTTGCTTACTCTCATTCGAGAGTTTGGTGACCGTGCACTTACTGTTTTGAGCCAAATGCTTTTACTATAGGCTTTTAATTGTGGTTAACTTTATCGTGATATGAGTATATTGTCTTTACTTCATTATTTTGCAGGGGCGTCATTTTGATGCGACTAGAGCATGCCGGAAAGATTCAATCAGCATCCCTAATCTCTGCCACTGCTGATGAAGAAGCGGAGTTGCTACCCGATATGCAGTTGAATGAATCAACAACTAATGCCATAGCAGCTGGGGACGTATCTGTGGCTTCATAATAACAGTTCGCTCGACATGCTCAAATTTGTTGTGTATAACCATATTCAAATTCTGTGTAGTACAGAAGGCTTTTTCAGTTATCCTACTTGGCAGAAATTAGAAAGTGACGGTTTAGGGAAAATGAGGGTAGAAAAATCTGATAAAACCTTTAGTCTGTTGTATTTAAATGCATATTATGAGGTACTCTTTCAATATTATTTTCCTTCTCTATAGCGTAACTACATCGATTTGAGTCAATATTATTTTCCCTCACCTTGAAAGCATCTTTGATGTGAATGAAGAATGTATACAGTGAGATCATTGGAGCACCCAAAATGGTAGCTTCCACCATTAGGCCGCATGAAGATATAAAATACTTTAAACACAATCACAACACAAAATACATGAACGGACAGAAAAGCTTTAGAACCTCCAACCTTTTTAAAAGCCACTTTATAAAGCATCTTTGTTAAGAATGCAATATTACATACAATGAGATCATACTTTAGATATGGCATAATATTACTACCAAGAGCAATGAAACTTTGAAACAAACAATAGCGAACTAACAATGATTCATAATTGATCCTTATTCTTAAACAATGTTAACCAAACCGAACCAACAGGTCTTAATCTTGACATTATTTGTGGTTGGCTGATTCTTAAACGAGTTTAATGAAGTTAAATTCCAAGTACTTTGGCATATCTTAAGTAAATTAAAGACTTAAAAAACAAGAAACCATCATGCATGGTTCCATTTGTTGTCAGGTGTTCTACATGTAATGGAAGCCACATCAAAACAATAATCAGCATCCCTAAAACAACCTATAAACAACTAAAGAGGAAAGGCGTGTGTAGCATTACATGATGAGACAAAGATAAGAAAGATTCCAGACCTCTTTTGCTTGTCTACAGGTCTGTAACCTAGACGTCAATAAAAATAACCCCGGCATTTCATTGATCCACATAAGCATTTCTTTCTTCCGTATGCCGTGTTGTTACTTTCAGTCTCATTTGATTGTAGAGTACCATAATCGTATTTGAACTCGGTCATTGGAGGTATGTGTTTCTTTGTAAAGAAACCGATACGGAGATCAGATTCGTTATTATGCTCATACATGATTGGCTGCCAAAAAATATTTGGAGTGCAACTATGATTCATAAATCGAGCTACATTTCCTGTGTTCTTTGTACTTATGGATAGGGGAGATGGAATATCAAAATCTTCGGAGGCATCTGAACTTTCCTCTCCTACCAACTCAGGTTCATAATTCCACTTGAAGGATTCATAGTGTCGGTTTGTATCAAAACTGTACTCATCAATTTCCACAACTTCACCTGCATATTCACAAATAAATGCTCCTGTACGAATAGGGTCCCATGACCACAGACCCCAACCCCTATCTGGTCTTAAAAACTTCCAAGCGAAATTTCAAGCCTGTCTGTGAAACTCTATTTTTGCAGTTCCGAACGCATGGACATGAGGGGCCACATTCATATATCAAGGGTTTTCGACACACTAGAACACCATTGGCAGTGTAAGGGCAATCACCTCCATTATTTTTAAGGCAATAACAGTTAGATTTTCCTGGTTGGCATGCATCACGATTCACGACAATCACAGCAGAAAGCAGATTGCACCAAGTTGAATGATTTCAAATACTTGACAGTAGGGAAATATGTGAAGTAAGCAGGTCCCTTTTCATCATCAACCTCATTTACAAGGGAAACAGGTGTGCTTTCTGCACCTGAAGTGAGGTCAGGAAGAATAAGTCCGACCCTTGAAGATACACCTTTCCACTTCTGAATCAATTTCCAAGTTGCAAAAGGGCTAGTTTGCCCTGGGATCCTAACCAGTTTATACTTGAACATATTGCAACCTGATTTTCCCTTCTCCATCCATGACTCTTGGATCTTGTAAAGTCCACCATATACATAGACCTTAATCGTGAGACCCCGAATGACTCTTCATTGCCTCGGTGCAAGCTCTTCTCCAAAGCAAGATTGGCCCTCTCAAGCTTCTGATCAGATGCTTCTTTATCTCTTCTCCAAAGCAGGTGGTGATGACGGGTGAGCTATGATAACAATTATATCTTCAAATTATGTATATATAACGGAAGAAAGGAATCTCTTCGATATATAAACGAATGAAGAGTATATACCAAATCTACATGACCATTTTGATCCTTTAGTCTTATGGGTTAAATCATTTTAGTTCTTAAAATGTTATTACATCTCAATTTCTTTTATCGAAGCAATGACAATAATACTTTATTTTTATTAAAATATGGTTTAATGAATCATTTGTTTTTTAATCTAATTTTGCTTTATCGAATTGTCTTTCCCTTAGCAAATGGAACAAAAGCCATTCCCAATGCTCACGGTTAGAGATGCACATAGCCGGATTTAAATCCGATCCGGATCGGATAAAAATCGATCCGGATCGGATAAAAACCGATCTGGTTTTTTCACCAAGCCACCGGTTTATAAAAAAACCGGTTCAGATAATAACCGGTTTGGAGTGCCGGATGATGTAACCGGTTTCAGTTTGAAAAAAACTGGTTTTTTAAAAAACCAGTTTTAATCCGATAAAAAATCCGGCCATTCAATTTTTTAAACCCCAAACCGAATTTTTTTCCGGATAAAGTTTTTTTCAAACCGGTTTTTAATCCGGTAAAAAATCCGATCGTCCAATTTTTTCCCAAACCGGTTATACTATCCGGTTTTAAAATATCCAATCTGGTTTTAAAAAAATCGGTTTTTCCCAAATCCGGTTTCGGATATTTTTTGCACAAAATCGGATATTCGGATTTTTTGTGCACCCCTACTCACGGTGCTGATACTGCATGGTTTTGAGGTCAAATTTATCAGCAACTTAAGCATGCATGATGCATAAAAAAGCAGTTGTGAAGTGAACCAAGGTGAAGCATATTGCGGTACTTTCTAAAGTCGAACATCTTCATCACTAGTTGTATTTGTATAGCAATAACGCAACAAGCTAATTATGGAGTTTTTCTACTACTTTAGTCCATTCTAATTCAAAATAATAAATAAAATTCGTCACAGTAAAACACCCAAAGGAAAAAGCAAACAATGAAAACCACTCCAAACGGGAGGCGACCATAATCCAACTATCATACTACTTTGACAAAAACGTAAGCAGTCATATAGAATATCAGTGCGCAGGGCAGCTTGTCCATAATTCGGGACAAACAAAAAAGGGTAAATTACAAGTTCAGTTTCATTTTTATTTCATTTTAATCCCCAATCATTTTTTTTTCAAAATAATTTCTAATGTTATGTTTTGGTTTCATTTTGGTTACCTATCATTAAAAAATTAACTAATATGCTTACATGACATTACCTCAACATCACTGTAAATTTTTTAATAATGGGTGACCAAAGTGAATTATTACGTTAGGTATGATTTTGAAACATAAATAGTTGGGTGACCAAAACAGAACAAAAGTGATAGTTTGAGTATTAAACGTGTAGCTTACCCAAAAAATAATAGGCAAAATCCAACCCGATATGTTAAACTTTGCTTCTTTCTAGGTACCTAAAAGTTAAAATCTGAGTATTTACATTTCTTAACCAACCGAGGTCAGGATATAGAGCATTAACTCGAAAGCAAGATAGACCAAAACTGAGCTAGGGATTTGCATTAGTTGTTTCTATAACAATCAACTTCACAAGAACATTTCTAAAGTACCAAAAATATTGTGAAAGCAAGTCGAGCTGCCACTTCAGGTATGAATTACTACTACATTCACCAATATCTGCAAGATAAACGAAGAATCATATAAAAGGATCAGAATTTCTGAGAAAATCGAAGAGAGATAACTAGAACTCTTTGTCGGGCCACAGACACAATATTAGATGAATACGGATTGTAAATGTAGAATGATACTTGTAGAGTTAACCTTTTTCATATGCAAATTGGAATAATAAATCCTACCTTGATGCAAAATAGCAAAAAGAACCTTGCTGCACAAGGCAAAAAAGCGTATACAATGGGGTCCGGACTGATTATATTAGCAGCAAAATAAATTACATGCAATTCATTTCTGTACTACACAAAATGGATAAGCAAAATAAAGATAACTTTCTTCATATGCAAATTGGAATAACAAATCCTACTTTAATGCAAGATAGCAAAAAGAACCTTGCTGCACATGGCAAAAAACAGTATACAACAGGACCCGGGCTAATTATATGAGCAGCAAAATAAATTACATGCAATTCATTTTTGTACTTCACCACAAAATGGATATGCACGTCTGATTTCTCTTTATATTAATATTAATATACATATCTATGTTACTTGAACTCTTGAATGAGTCTATATCCATATCCGAATATATTTCAAAATGAGTGCAGGACACGAATACAAGAAGGAATATGAAATGTTGGCACAACATAGATGTTTCATGGACTCCGCAGCAAGTGTTGGAAACAAGACTATATTCTTTTTTTTTTTGATAAAATAAGGCCTCATTAAAAACCCCCTTCTTATCCTACATGTTACAAACATAACATGAAGGACATTGGAAGGAGGAAAAGAGTGCCTCTAACTTTTATTAATTAGAACAATAATACACCTCCACTACTCAACAGCTAACAACTTCTTACAAAACAAAAAACCATAAATCTGAAAACAAAACACACCCTGAAACTCCTAAAAAGGAACTACCAAGGCATAACACCTAAACCATTACACAAAACGTAAGTTCAGCCTATACCAGCTTTAGCTAATACATCCGCTTCCCAATTTGCTGCTCTCGAGATGAGCCTTGTGATGATACCCTTCCTCTCCACAGTAGAAGCTATATCCCTTACCAAGGAATGAAACAAAGTAGTACTAAGGTTCGGATTATTAATCCATTTCAGAGCATTAGAAGAATCCGATTCCAAAATGATCCTCTGATTTGAAAAGAGATCAGCTTCAACTTCCTCAATAAGAATCAACCCTCTCTTGATCGCCAAAAGCTCAGCGAGTAAGGGAGGACCTCCCCCTACCTTCTCTGAAAAAGATCCAAGCACCATCCCTCTGCCATCTCTAGTCAAGCCACCTATTCCACCCTTATCCCAACCTTTGACCATTGCACCATCAACATTAACTTTTAAGAACCCTATCGGAGGAGGACTCCACCTAGAAGAAGGAAGATACCTCTTATTCAGATTGACATGTTGATCAGCTAGTTTTAAATCCCCCATCAAAGAATCAAAATGAAAATGAACATCCTTAACTGATGTTTCAAACCAAGAAACAGTTCTGAAACGTGAAATGAAGAACAACAGCGCTGAATCAACCTTCCCATTCTGGAAAATCACCTCATTCCTACATTTCCAAATAGACCACAACATTGCTCTTGAAATAAACTTCCATATATTGGATCGCGACACTAAGTCATCCCAGGCAATTAGGAAGTCCATCACCGAACCAGGAACCACAAAGAAAACATTCCAAAACTTTAAAAACTTAGCCCACAAAACCCATACCACTTCACAGTGAAGAAAAAAATGAGAGACCGACTCATTGTACTTCCTGCACAAAGGGCAGACAGAGTCTTCAACCCCAGAAACTCCTCTCTTCAGCAATTCCTCTTTCACCGCAACTCTATGATGAGCAAGTTGCCAAACAAAGGATTCCACACGTGGTGAAGCTACTCCCTTCCAAACATACCGTTCCCAATTACTTTCTAATTGATCAATACCCTCTCTATCAAAATAGGTTTTCATGCATGATTTTGCTGTAAAACAGCCCTCTCCATTTCCCAACCAAATCCAACAATCTTCCTCTACTAGAGACAAAGAAGAGCTATTCAACAGAGAGATAATTAGCCGCCACTGCTCAACCTCCCAATCCACCAAATTCCTTCTCATTTGAATATCCCAAACCCAACCCGAATCATTGTGCAATGTGAATTCTGCTACCTTACCCTCTCTGTTATTCGAAAGAGCAAATAACCTTGGAAACCTATCTTTTAGAGGAGCCGAACCCAACCAAACATCATGCCAAAACTGAACAGTTTCTCCATTTCCAGCCCTAACACACAAATTTCTCCTAAAACAGTCCCCAAATGCATCACTTGAAAAGTTCTTAACAATTCCTCTCCAAATCCAAGAACTACGAGCTGTCCAAGTATTCCGGATCATCAAAGAATTAGGATCCATATTGTAAACACAACACACAACTGATTTCCACCAAGAATTTTTCTCTCCAACAAATTTCCACACCCATTTCCCCATAAGAGCCCTGTTTAAAAGCAGCAGATTCGGAATCCCTAAACCCCCCAACTTCTTTGGCTTACACACCAAATCCCACTTGATCCAATGAATGTTCTTTTTATCTGATGATCCCCCCCATAGAAACGATGCCATGATAGAGTTTAGTTTGTTGAGAACACTAATAGGGATCTGAAAAATAGAAAGATAGTGGATTGGAATAGAGCACAACACCGATTTGACCAAGACAGCCCTTCCAGCGAAAGATAGAGACTTGGCCTTCCAACCAGCCAAATTATTATAAAATTTTTGTATAACCGGTTCCCACAGGGAAAAAGAATTCCTCTTAGCCCCCAATGGAAGACCTAAGTACTCCGAAGGAAAAACTCCCCTTATGCACCCTATTTCCTTTGCCCATGAAACTAGTTCCTCCTCCCCCACATTAATTCCAAAAATTCTGCTCTTAGACAGATTCAACTTCAAACCCACCATCAGTTCATAAATTAAATGTACCCTTCTAATATTCACCAAATCATGAATAGAAGCCTTACTAAAAATTATTAAATCATCCGCAAATTGCAAATGAGATAACATGAAAGAACGTTCATTAGAGCCTAATTCAAAACCCGAAAACAACCCCTTATTCATTGCTTTTACCAACATTAAATGTAGCAATTCCCCTCCCAAATTGAACAACAAAGAGGATAACGAGCAGCCCTGCCTTAGCCCTCTAGTAATGTGAATTTTCTCCGTAGGTGTGCCATTTACCAAAACTGAAATGGAAGCTGTTGAAACACACTTGTACATCCAAGAACTCCATCTAGCTCCAAACCCCATTTTACTCATTATTTTCAACAAGATCCTCCAATCAACAATATCAAAAGCTCTTTTGAAATCCACCTTAAAAACAACTCCTTTCAATCCTTTTTTCCTCCAACAATCAATGCCTTCATTTGCTATAAACGAGCAATCTAAAATGTGCCTCCCCGGTATAAAAGCGAACTGTGAAGGACTAATAACTTCATTAATGCATAAGCTTAACCTTCTAGCCAGAACTTTTGAGAGAATTTTGTAGAAACCCCCAACTAGACTAATAGGCCTAAAGTCTTCAAGCCCCTCCGGATTGTCCCTCTTGGGAATAAGAGAGGAAAGAATGATTGGTTTCCATGTCCCATTCCTTTCCCTCATAAAAATCTTTAAAAAACAGCAGCAAAATTTCCTTCAGACTTGACCAAAACTTCTTAAAAAAACCTAAATTCAGTCCATCTGAGCCAGGTGCTTTATTACAATCCGAATTAGCGATTACACCCCAAATTTCCTCTTCAGAAAAAGGCTTCTCGAGTGCCATACTCTGCTGATTCGATAGCTGTAAAAAATCCAAGTCCATCTCCTCAACTTCCAATGTATTTTCCTGATTAAACAACCCCTTGAAAAAGTGCACCACCGAAGCTTTAATTAATTTTGGATCTGAGATGTCTTCATTATCTACTTTGATGGATTTGATACCATTTCTCCTTCCTCTACCTCTTGCACACTGGTGGAAAAATCTAGTGTTATGTAAATTTAATTTTTTTCACGTATTTGGAAGATCCACCTTCATACCCATAACTAAATATGTATCGAAACATGGGTTGTATGCGGGTACATCAAACAAACTTGAAAGAAAATTTATATATGCAACTATGCGGTGCTTATTCAACTTTTTTTAACCAAAAAAAGGAATAATCTCCATGCGCGTTACTAAATCAATAACATCATTGTAGTGAACAGCAATGCATAAATCCAGGTTTAAACGAACTTATTCAAATGATAGGCAAAATGCTCAATAATTAATAATTATGTGAACTAACCTTCTGCACAAGCAATCATTTTGGTATAGATGATGAACGGTGTTCTATGAACTTCCAAGAAGACGTTGAAGCATCTGGTGATGGTGTTCCAAAATCTAAGATGCGTTGAAGCCATTTAACCCGACAAATAAGTTCCTCCAAATCCAAAACTGCAGCCTCTATTGTATCAGAGTATGTGGAATTCAAGCAAACACTTTCATCAATTTTCATCTTCTTTAATCCTTTGTCACTAAATTTGTCTGCCATTCCCAACATCTGTTTTGAGGTATCTTGAATATGTAAACTTGAAACTCCATCCAAGTAATTTCTCTTTTCAGGGACATGATCCACTATATTGAGGCCTACGATTGTTTCTGCGGTGTTTTTTTGTTTTTCATTCAAGGATTTCTTTGCCAATTGTTGTTTATATGGAAAATGTAAAGGACCAGCTGAAATACGAGAAGATAAAGAAACCTCAGGCTTGATTGATGCATCTGTTGTTGAATGAACATCATTTTCCTTCTCACTAACAATGCGATCTATCACGTTTGCAGAACTCCCTGCAGTCACCATTCCCCATTTAAGTACAGATAAAAAATAATTTTTGACCTTTCATATATGTTTACACAATGTTTGGAAGAAATCAAAAGATAGAAAAAAATGGTTAAATACAACCACGAAAGAGACTAGAGGTAGACTGGAAAGCAATAACATCCGTAATAAATATTGTATTGTGTCAAACAAAAAGTTTCTAAAAAATGACTATTGATATTATAAACATAAATAAAATCTAATACATTTAAATAACTATAACTATATAGTCGATTACTCTTTTTCTAGATGTATATTCTATTGAAGTTTCTATATGAATTCCCTTGAATAGGGTAATCATTGTGTATAATCTAGAAATTATTATTTTTTCATGCATATATATATATATATATATAATATTTCCTCTAGCATTAATTGTCTTCTCATTGAAAGCCACTCCTAAAAAATACGATAATATAGACAGTAACATGATTAACACAAACATAAATTAGTTTGAAATTCTAAAAGAAACATTTTCCTGGCATTAATTGAAAAAAAAATGGCAAAAGTAAAGGTACTGAGCAGTCAAAAGATTGTTAGAAGCATTAAAGTCGCCAATGATTAACACAGATAAATCAGAAGGAAAACAAACCATTCTCTCCATGCATACACATTATCAAAGGTAAGTACTGAGCAGCCAAAAGAGTTTTAGAAGCATTATCACCTTGATTAAGAGGCTTGACTATTCGAGCGCAAAAATGGCCACATTTATTCCCCTATAACAATCAAATTAGAACAAATTGATAAGCATTTAAAGATACAATAACTACATCCCTTGTTAGCATATAATGCTTTAGACATGATAGGATAAAGTAGGTCCACAGATGACATGACATATTGTAACAGCCTCAATAACGGGTTAGTGACTATATTGTAAAATTTCAGAACTTGGTGATTAAAGTAGAATAATTGAATAGTATTGTAATTTGATATAGGGTTAATTTGCAAAGAAGGAATAGAAGGATAGAATGGTCTTTTGGCAAGGAAAATAATTAAGAAGGGATTTATATATATATTAGCTCCACATGGAAGAGAAGAAAGAAAAACAAAGGTTCCAGAGTTCTCTTCTTCTCTTCTTTTCTCCCAAACGTGAAGACTTATAGCAAAGGTGACATTCTACATAAGCTAATTGTTTGCTGAAATTTAAGTTTGGTTTTGCTCATTAGATGCTAATTAAGCTTAAGGAAAGCTTAGTTTGTTGTAAAACAACAAAATGAAGAGTGTAGAAGGATTTAAAGATTTGGAGTTTTTGAATGAAATTTCGAAATAGAGTCTATAATTGGAATAAGTTGAATTTGACTTTTCATCTACCTAATTAAGGAAGATGAAGAGTTAGAATTAGATTTTGAACATATTGGAATTTGGGTGAAATTCTTGAATTCTATGTGGAAGATTGGATTTTAAGTTTAAAGAAGTGGTTATTGAGTAGTAACGAGTGTAAGCATATGTATGCGAGATAGAAATCTTAAAGGAAGTGAAATAAGAAGAGTTGTGTTGGAAAGGGGTGAATTTCGTGTTGAAAATGGCAATTCTGGGTTGAGTGCATCGATGCACCTTAAAGGTGTACCGATGCACTCTCAAATAAATGAACATCGAATGCCATTGATGCATCGATGCATAAGGAGTGCATCGATGCACCCATTTAAAATACAAACATCGAATGGGATTTATGCACCGATACATATGCATCGATGCACCTGTCAAGGGATGCATCGATACATGGTGTAGTGCATCGATGCATACCTTCATTAAAAGTTGGAAATAACTTTCTTTTTAGCCTAAGGAATGATAGTTTAGAATATATTAATTAATATACTGATTAGTATCAATGTATTACTATGTAGATATAGAACATAATTTCGTTCCGGAACAAACAAAGGATTAGGATCAAGTCGAAACAAGCAAGGCCAAGGTGAGTGCATTTTCTAGTTAAAGTGTATAGAGATAAGACTTGTGATAAGTCTATCTCTGATAGTTGAATTCATGATTTAATATTCATGTACATGCATACATGTATTATTTTTATAGTGATTTCATGCATAATTCCTTATGCTTCAATATGATATTATGGGAACGAATGCCATTACAAGAGAAACAATCTAGGTATGTTGATTAATGAAAATGATTATATGTGTTTATATGAAAAGTGATGAAAGAGATATGAAATGAGAAATGTATTCATATTTAAGCCCATGTTATATGATACGAGAGCTATACGTATAATTGACATGCCAAGAGTCGAGAGATTATCAGTAGTCCTTCGGGACATAGTGGTTCTTAGGAACAATCAGTGGTCTTTCGGGACATAGTGGTCCTTCGGGACAAATATTCAGTGCCCCTTGAGGGAATTATACGAGCTGTGGTGATAGCATAGTGCACAACCTCTATGTACTCACATACATTTGTTCTCAATAATGTACATGGGAAATTCAAAGATAAATTAAAGTGAAATTGGTATGAGAATGTATATGTTATATGTACATGTTATCATCATATATGTTATCGTGTAATCGATACATGAACATTGGAATGTCCTGATTAATGGTAAGAATGCATGTTCATAAATTCATGATTATACATGTGAATACATACATTTATATCATGCCTCACTAAGTCTGTGACTTAGCGTGTAAGTGATTTACACGTAGGTACCAAGAATCAGGAAGAGCGGAAATAGGGTGGCAAGAACAGTAGCACTGCTAGCGGATCAGATCAGAAGTAATTGATAAAGTATGTATTTTGTCGTGTATAGTATGTTGGCATGTAAGTAAAGTGTCAGTTATGAATGCTCTGATCGATTTTGGTTGTTTTGGTCAATCCATGTAAATAAACCGCTTTTATTTTAATGAAAGTTTTAAATTTCCCTGTTTTCTTTAAGTGTCAGAGTTTGAAAAGTCAATGAGACACCTCAGACTCGTATTCGGGTCGGATACTGGTTGGGGGTGTTACACATATCTTGCACCAATGAACTGCTAAGTCCAAATACAGAGAATAACCATTGTCAATGTCTAGGAAACATCATAACAAAAATACTGAGGCCATGTGTCAAATTATCACAAATTGGAAATTTATAAAAATATAGAGGCTTAAGTTATCTATGTTTGCATGATTTATCATGTCATCTTTGTTTTCACATTGTTCTTATATCAAGTTGTTATACTTTCTTGCCCCAATGGATATTGGGTGTTGACCAAAATCAATAACAAATACTAAGCCAGGATAAAAGATAAAATCAGATCAGATAAATAAGCAAGGGAAGAGAAAGAGTGTGAGACAGCAACCTTGGGAAACTTCCAGCCCTTATCCACAGACCATTCCAATGATGGACGCAAATCTTTGCAAGAAGCGTCATATAAAGACCCTTCACCCTCGGGAGGTGGTAGCAACTCAACCTATGCAAACAAATAAAACCAAGAACATTTGAAGAAAAACAACCATCAGAAGCCATTCTCATTGAGAAAGTGTTAAAATGAAAAGTTGAGTCACTAAATAAACTGTTTATAGGGATGGGCACTTATGGATACCTACTATAGCTAGATGGTAATTACATACAAGCACATTATTTCTCAAAAACATACAAACTAACACATAAGAAAATGGTAGCCTATATGAGATTAATATTGAATTGAGATTTGAACCATCTGTCGAATTTTCAATCTTAAAGATGGGTGAGCAGCTAGAACAATCAAATGAGTTCCAGTGTGGTGTGAATGCTTTCCCTTTCCCTCTACGCCAGAGGCTTTTAAATGGATCTGATTTTTCAAAGCGTCAAAGCCAGGCGAAAGCAATTGTAGATATTTTGTTTTAAATTTATTTTTCTGTAGGGAGTAATTTCTATATTTAGGTGAGTAGAAGTGTGTATATATCTAAAGGATACATCACTAATTTAATTTCGTTTAAAAATAGATTTTTATTTTACTTGGAACTCTTGTAGAAGTCTTTAAAAGAAAAACTATTTTTTTCTGTCAAGTGTGAAACTAGTAAATCAGAGAAATCAATTTCGCAATTGCCAACAAATCTGGCTGAGTCTTCCACTTCGTCAGTCACAATTCACAAATTGGCCATAACTATCTTCAATAGTCTCAGTCAGTGGAGATGTATTTTACCGGAAGAAGGAAGCTCAACTACATCTCAGGAGGGGTCGCTAAACCTTCAGACACAGCTTCAGTGTATGAAAAGTGGCTTCAAGAAAATAGCATTCCTGGTTAGTAAATACGGTGTTTCAAGCGATTGAGGAGAAATTGCTGAAAACTATATGGAAAGCCTACTGACTAGAAACCCCAAAAATTGAGGCTACCAAAGGAGTCTTCTGCCAACATCACAACAACTGAGCATTCAACCAGCTTCAATATGTAGCAGATTGAAAACTTACTAATTCAGCAAGCTTCAATAAGTAGCAGATTGAAAACTTACTGATTCGACAAACAATTTCTCCTGTTGATCTGACTCTTGCATCTGCAAGTCAGACTGGTAGTTTTTCATTTCTCTCCAACACTACTCGGTTTTCTTAGTGGTTGATTCTGGTGCCATGGATCATATGAAAGCGAAAAAAAAAATTTGTTTTTAACGGCAGTCGAGGTAACTGGATCCATTTTTATTAATAAGGCTCTTGTGCTACATTTTGTTCTACATGTCCCTAACCTCCATTACAACCTCTTGTCAGTTCGTAGATTGTGTTTTGAGCTCCAATATTACACTAAAATTCAGTTCTCATGATTTTGTTTTTTAGGAAATGAATTCAGAGAAGTTAATTGGCAGTGTTGAGCTGTGTAACGGACTTTATATCCTTCAAGGCCACTCTCTTCCTAAAGGACAACTCCAATCAAGTTGCACCTTTAATTCTCTTTGCTTTTCTTCCCATATATTTAATTTAAGCTCTAATGAGATTATGTTATGGTAAAAGAATTAGCTACGACTGTGTTGGTTTCCAATGTTCTACTTAGGTTTGTAAAGAGAAGTAATAATTGTGAAGCTTAGCTAAGGCGGGAATTGGGTAATGTTTGATGTGTTTTGTATTCTGTTTTTTGGTTTTTGTTGGGATTGTAATTATCCTGTCATGGGATAGGTGTGTTTTTGAGTAAGGTTGTAATCTAGGGAGTGTTTACCTAGGTTGTACTCTTTGTTGATATTAATAAATTTCGGGCACTCTTTTACTCCTTCCAATGCCCGTTAAGATACTTTGTAGCTTAACGGTTAAGAAGGGGGGTTTTATCGAGGCCTATTTCCTATAAAAAAAAGATTATGTTATGGCATTTTAGACTTGATCATCCAAGTTTTTTTTATCTTTCATTGTGATATGTGTCAATTTGCTAAGCACAAACGAAATACGTATCCTCCATCTTGTTATAAACAGTCTCAACCTTTTTACCTCATTCATAGTGACATTTGGCCCTTCTAAAGTTAAGAATATTATTGAGGCTAGGTGGTTAGTATCTTTCATTGATGATCATACTAGAACTACTTGAACATACTTAATGAAGGGGAAATCTGAAAGAGAGGATGTCTTTAAAACTTTTTATATGATGATTGACACTCAATTTTACAGCAAGATTAAAACCCTAAAGAGTAATATTGAGTTGAATTCTTTACAAATACTTTAGGTGACTTTCTTAGGGAAGAAGGGAATTATCCATATTAACTAGTGTCGATATTCCTTAGCAAAATGGAGTTACTAAAAGAAAAAACAAACATCTTTTAGAGGTTGCTAGGTCTCTATTATTTTCTTCCAATGTTCCTAAACTATTTTGGGAATTACTACCACTTACCTTATAAATCAATTTCCAAATAGAGTTTTGGGATTTTGAACTCTTAAGGAATTTTTCTCGACAATTTTCCCTTCTTTAAACCCGTTAAATGTACAGTGCCTGTGAGAGTACATGGGTATTCTGCCTTTGTTCATATTCATAAGCAATTTCGAAGCATATTAAATCTTAGGGTTATCGAGGGCCTTTTCCTAGGTTATTCTTCTCTAAATAAGGGCTATAAATGTTATTCCTCTGTCACTCGCAAATTCTATGTTTCAATGGATGTTACATTTCATAAATTTCAATCTTTTTTCTCAGATTCTGAAATTCAAGTGGCGAGTTGGGATGAATTTCAGCCTCCAATGATTCAGTTACCTCTTGATAGTCCTACTTCTATACCAAATTCAACTCCTCCCTTACTTCAAATTGAACCTACACTGCCAGAAAGTCTTCCTTCAACAACTCAACTTGAAATAAGAAACTTAGTGTCTATACAAGGAAAAAAAGAAGCCTATTCCACGGGACACTACACAGTCTAGGACTACTCAAGAGCTGGACCCAATTCCATTGTCCCTAGGTGATGCAAAAGGTATGGACTCTTTTTTTTATATAGGAATTAGGCCTCATTAAAAACCCTTTCTTAACTATTGAGTTTTGTAGAACTCCATAATCATTGGAAGGGGTAAAAGAGTGCCCAGAATTTTATTGCCAAACATAAGAAATACAACCAAAACCAAGCAAACAATACAAAGACATCCATTACAACAACCCACCACCCCCATTCTCACCAAATCACAACCTCACCTCTCACTAACCTATTCCTGATTTAGCTAAACAGTCAGCTTCCCCATTAATACATCTGTTGACATGCCTAGTAATAACATTAAAATACAACACAGCCTTCTGAATGTCTCTGACCAAATCAACATAGTGAATCGAGCAAAGATCCGAGTTGTTGATCCACTTCAAAGCTAGATAGAAGTCACTCTCTAAAATCAGAATCCCCTTATCCCTCCAAACTGAATCAAAAACAATTCTAACCCTGCTTTGATCGAAAAAATCTCTGCAAGAATTGGAGGGCAAGGTCTTGTCGCTCTAGAGAAGAAAAACAACCTCTTATTATCAACATCCCTTAGGACTCCTCCAATACCACTGTTTCCCCAGTCAAAATTAACAGCCCCATCAACATTCATCTTAAAATAACCCGATGGAGGAGGACACCACTTTAACTTAGACAGACCAAACTTAGAGGGGGAACGATGCACATCCGCCAAGGTTAAGTCACCCACAAGGCTGTCAACCTGTATAGAGAATTCACTGTTTTTAGCCAAGAACCATGAAGCCACCCTATACCTCACCAAGAAGAATAGATTAACTTTATCCATCTTGCAATTCTAAAACGACAGTCCACAAAACGACACCCGGTAGAAATTTCCAAATAACTGAATTAGGCCTTAACTCCAACCATGAAAGCAAAAACCCTTTAGGATTATTGGGCAGTACTGAAAAAACATTCCACAAATGAAGGAATTTTACCCAAATCTCCCAAACCTGCTTACAAGAAAAGAACAAGTGACTCACCGATTCAGGTTCCAAACCAATTTGGATTCTCAATACCCTTGACACCTCTGCTTGGTAAAACAGACTTGACAACCAACTTCTGGTGAATAATTTGCCAAAGAAATACCTCAACTTTAGGAGGAACTAACCCCCTCCACACAATCTCAGACTAGGAAGCATCTGACTCGGATAAGCTTGAAATTATTCTAATGCAAAAATGAACCGAAAACACACCATCCCCATTTCCTTTCCAAGCATAACAATCTTCACCCTTCAACAACGGACGAACATTATCCAACAAACACATCAGTCCCATTCATTGATAAAATTCACTGTCCATTAAATTCCTCCTCAGCTGAAAATCCCACACCCACTTCCCATTACTAATACACCCAAAATCTGCCACAACCCCATCCTTATTAACCGACAAAGCAAATATCCTTGAAAATTCAGTCTTCAAGGGAAAGTTACAAATCCATCTGTCATGCCAAAACCTAATTGAATCTCCCTTTCCCACCAACAACATTAGGTGATTTCGAAAAAATAACCCAAATGTGTCATTCAACCGATAGTTATTTAGAACACCTTTCCAAATCCAAGACGCACTGGGAGGCAAATTAACATCCAACACAATAAATCTCCTATCAACATTATACTTACAACAGATCATTTTCTTCCACCAAGAATCCTTCTCACTACCAAACTTCCAAACCCATTTGCCCAAGAGAGCCCTATTCCTTAGATTTAGGTCCGAGATACCCAATTCCCCAAATTCTTTATTTTTACAAACAATCGACCAATTGACCCAGTGGATCCGTTTCTTCTCTGCCGATGATCCCAACAAGTAATTGGCCATTAAAGATTCTAGCTTTTTCTGAACAACCACTGGCATTTTAAAAAGCGATATATAGTAATTAGGAAGTGCATTCAGGACTGATTTTACCAAAACTGCCCTTCCCGCAAGGGATAAATAACCTGATTTCCAGCCTGCAAGTTTCTGATAAAACTTATTCACAATCGGTTCCCAAAGATGAATAGAATTTCTCCTTGCTCCCAAAGGTAACCCCAGATAATTCGTCGGAAAAGAGCCTCGTCTAAGCCCCCAGAAACTTTACAGCTTTTTGTAGGAGAATCATTGACAAGAATTGAAATTGAAGTTGATTTCAAACACTAATATCCAAGACCGCCATCTTTGACCGAACCCCATACACTCCATAATTTTGATCAAAATATCCCAATCCACAGTATCGTAAGCTCTCTTAAAGTCCACTTTGAACACAATACATTCCCTCTCTTTCCTCCTCTAATAATCAATGCTTCATTTGCTATTAAAGAGCAGTCACAAATCTGTCTCCCCGGGATGAAAGCAAAATGAGAATGACCAATCAACCTGTTTATGCACATCCTTAACCCTCTTGACAAGACTTTAGACAAAATTTTGAATAATCCCCCTACCAAACTTATTGGTCTATAGTCTTCAATGCCAACCGGATTCGACTTCTTTGGAATGAGTGTAATAAAATGGTTCACACCTTTCCCAAACTTCTTCCCATCAAAGAAACCTTTGAAAAAGTTCTGAATGTCTCCTTTCAAAACCGGCCAAAATTTCTTGAAAAATCCCATATTCAATCCATCCGGACCCGGAGCTTTATTACTATACGATGACTCTATTGCCCCCCAAATTTCTTCCTCCGAGAAATTCCTTTCTAAAAGTACGACTTGAGCCTCAGAGAGCCTATTAAAATTCAGATCCAACTTCTCCACCTCCACCGTAGGCTTAACATTGTAAGCATCCTTTTTTTTATAAGAATTTCAGGCCTCATTATAAACCTCCTTCTTGGTTGAAGGTGCTTATAGATAAGCTCCTTAACCAACGAAAGGAGGAAAAGAGTTCCTTAAGATTTATTGAACGAAACTATAATATACATAAGATACATTCTTAGAAGTAAATTAAGACAGACAGGTCAACACAAGGCAACCTTGTGACCTATAAACATCAACAATCAATCAGCCAATTCCTTCTTTAGCTAAGGCATCAACCTCTAAGTTGGATGTCCTGCTTACCCATCTAACCATCGAATATATTAAGCCAATGAACAATGTCTCTAACCAAATAAGCATAAACATCAGGACAGAATTCAACCCCCTTAACCCAATCCATTGCCATCTTGCTGTCACTTTCAATAATCAACATGTCTTGTATCCTTTCTCGGCACTCAGCATAGAATAGAAGCCCCTTTTGAATAGCTTTTAACTCCATAAATGTTGGAGGTCCCGAACCTGCAGGCTCCTTGAAAGACCCTAAGGTAGTTCCAGCGGAATCCTTTAAAACTCCTCCTAAACCACTCTTCTTCCAATCCTTAGTCGTAGTTGCATCAACATTAATTTTCACAAAACCCATCGGAGGAGGATGCCAAGGAATAGTAGACACAATCATATTAAAATAGATGGAACAATCATCCCTAAGGAGGGGTCTGAAATAAGAGTCTTTAAGAATATACACCCTTTTATTCTTCGCTAGGAACCATGAAGCAAGCCTAAACCTTGCTAAGAAGAAGAATTCAACCTCATCCAACTTTCCCCCTTCAAATACAATTGAATTCCTCAATTTCCAAGTAGTCCACCTGGAATGAGAGACCAAATCGTAGAATCAGTCTTCAAAGCATCCCAAGCCAAGAGAAAACTTTTAGCATTATAATGGAAAACAGAATGCATATTCCAGAATTTGAGAAATTTATTCCAAACATACCACCCCACCGAACAAGAGAAAAACATATGTGAAGGAGACTCTTCTTCCATCAAGCAAAGAGGGCATAATAGGTTTTGAATACCTGTTATTCCTCTTTTCACCAGTTCTGTTTTAACAGCCAACCTCCCTAAAACAACCTGCCACATAAAGGACTCAACTTTTGGTGGCAGCTGACCCCTCCAAACAATCTTACTCCAAAAGTAGGCCTCATCCGAACCTAAAGAAACTGATGAGCATAGATTAACAAAAACACCCCATCCCAGACCCTTTCCAAATCATCCCATCCGCATTATCCATATTTAGAGCATAAGCCGAGATGACTGCCATCAAATTAGCCCATTGCTCTATTTCCCAGTCATTTAAATTCCTACGAAACTGCACTTCCCAAATCCAGCCAAGAGTGCTATACTCCCCAAACTCAATTAATTTACCTTTTTTATTAATCGAAATGGAAAAAAGTCTAGGGAAAATAAGCAGAAGCGGATAATCCAAAGCCCAATTGTCCTGCCAGAATCGAATAAATTTACCATCTCCAACTAGAATAGAACACATACTTCTCAACTTTGAGCCTATAGGGTCATCTTTAAAGTGGTTATTAACCACTGATCTCCAAATCCAAGATACTTTATTTGGAGTCTTACTGTCAAACAGTAACAAAAAAGGATCCAAATTATATTTAGAGCAAATAAAATCCCTCCAAACAGACCCCCTTTTGTTTGCATACTTCCAAGTCCAGTTTTCTAAAAGTGCTCTATTCATCAAATTCAGATTTCGCACACCCAAACCCCCCTCCATCTTTGGTTTGCATACATTCGGCCAGCTAACCCAATGGATCTTACTTTTATCAACTCCCCCTCCCCATAGGAAATTTGACATCATAGAATTCAGGGTTTTAAGAACCGAAGCTGGTATCTTAAAAAGAGATAAGTAATAAATAGGAAGGGAACATAGAACCGACTTGACCAAGACCAGTCTCCCTTCTAAAGAAAGAGAGGCAACCTTCCATCCTATTAATTTTTTGGAAAAATTACTGATTACAGGATTCCAAATAGCAGCAGAATTCCTAGAAACCCCCAAAGAAAGCCCTAGATATTCAGAAGGAAAGCTTCCAACTGAACAACCTATAGAATTAGCCCACTCATGCACTTCCTCATCATTCAATTCACACCAAATAGCTTGCATTTCTTCATATTTAGCTGTAAACCTGAGATAACTTGGAACACACGAAGCACCCTTTTCACATTTAGAATTTGCATTTTCGAAGCACCACTAAAGATAATGAGATCATTCGCAAACCGTAAGTGAGATAGATTAAAAGACCCCTCGTTCCTCCCAATAGCCAATCCAGAAAACAGCCCCTTTGAAACACCCTTTAAAAGCAGTAAATTAAGGAGTTCAACAATAAAATTAAACAGCAAAGGGGATAAGGGACAGCCCTGTCTAAGCCCCTTTGCCATAGGAATTTGATAGAGTTCTTGGAACTCGAATTTGAAACTATGGACTTCAGTTACTTAAGATACTTCCTAGGTATGGAAATAGCCAGATCAAGAACTAGAATTGTGATTGATCAAAGGAAGTATATTTTGGAAACTGGTATGTTGGGTTGCAAGCGTGCAGAGACACCTATGAAGAATAATATGAAATTTAGATATGATGGACAAGGAGTTCCTGTTGACAAGGGATGTTATCAAAGACTGGTAGGTAAGCTCATTTACTTATCACTTACACGACCAAACATTGCTTTTTCAGTTAGTATTTTAAGTCGGTTTATAAATGATCCTAAAGAGGAACATCTAGAGGCATTGACTCGAATCTTAAGTTACCTAAAGATGAAACCAAGTCATGGACTGATTTTTACCAAAAATACGAGAGCAAAAAAGTAAAACTCTTCATGGATGCAAGCTAGGCAGGAGAGCTCACATCCAAAAGATCCACCAGTGGGTATTGAAATCGAGTTTGGGGTAATTTAGTGACATGGAGGAGAAAAAAATAGTGTGGTGCCCAAGAGCAATGCAAAGGCTGAGCTTCGAACTTTAGCACAAGAGATTTGTGAAGGAATTTAGGTATAAGGATTTTTGGCAGAACTTTAGATGAACTACAATACAGACTTTGAACTCAACTGTGATAGTCAACAATTAGCATTGCAAAGAATCCAGTGCACCACGACAAAACAAAACATGTGGAGCTAGATCGCCACTTAATCTGTAAGAAGATTACAAATGGGACAATTAAGCTCAATTTTGTTTCTACTCAAACAATTAGCCGATGTACTCACCAAAACACTTCCAAGAACCACCTCTGATGAGCTTACATCTAAGTTGGGACTCTACAATATATACTCACCAGCTTGAAGGGGAGTGTAGATTGTAGATAGGTTGTGTATATTAGCTATTATAATTATTAGTTTGTCTTAGTAGGAGACTTATCTATCTAAAGGATAACTCACTAATTTATCTCTAAATTAGTGCAAAAATAGAGTTCTACTTTACTTAGAATTCTTGTACAAGAAATCTTTAAAAGGACTCTTCTTTTCTGTGCTGTGTGAAATTAAGTAAATCAAAGAAACATTGTTCTCTCAATTCAAAATAGGATAAAAGTGTTAGCGACCATTTAAGAAAGCATCTATAATTATCCACATCTAATACAATATTAGCCAACAATTATAAAAAACAAAATAAAGCAAGATATATTGAGAAATCCATTCAATTCAAAACATCAAGCATAAATAAAAATTTATTACCTTAACATTTTCATCATCCAACTTTTCAGTTATCCTTCCCGTCCAAAAGCAATTGTCAGTCCACCAATCTACCAAATCACCCACCTTCCAAACATCATTGACTATAACAACAGTCTCTGAGATGATATTGACATCAAGCATCTGATGTTCACGGTAAACAAAAGGAAAGCGAGGTCGCACCATCAAGGTTCGCTTTTTATCCTTAGATTTACTACACTGATATAACTTTGTCCAACGTATTTCTGTAAAAGGGAAATAGATAGTTAAATCATTGAAATTTTCTTAAACATCATTTAAATCTCTCACAATAAGATTATCTCGAGCAAACTAACATTTATAAATTGTTTAACTGGTGGTGAGAACAGTGTATAGAACTCTAAACTTTGAGGTAAACCACTAGTTTTATTTTCTTTTAAAAAGAAAAGAAAAACACTTTTAGAATCCAATGTGCAACTACCTGCCTCTCGATACTTGTTCACTTGATCATTAGGTCACAGCATAGTTATTTTCTCCCTACTTCTAGTTTTGTCCTCTTATGAAAATTATATTAAGTGGAATTTTAAAAAATAGTAGCTTAGCCAAATAGAGAGAACTTACTTTCATCAGGAAAATCAACATATTCCAAGGCATGTCCAAGTTCCTTGTTCTTCCGACCAATTTCCTTGATCTGGTAGAAAACATAGTTATGAAGAATCCTTTTACATCAATATTAACAAGAATAACACATCCAATCTAAAAACAATTACAGTTAATGGACTCAATAACACATTCTTTCTGAAAATGCATTAAAGTTTAAGAATAAAAGTTTATAAAAAATCAGTGACCAAAATATTAACCCTCTCTACTTTAAAGTATCCTTTGATTTTCACAAGGATTACCCAATTGTACACATTTTCCAAAGCTAACATAAAATGATAATTTTACATGCTAAACAAAAGCATACAAAATTAAGACTATCTACTCAATAAATTATACAAGTATCTAAGTCTCAATAACAAAAAAAGTATCACAACCCAAACATCGAAAAAGAAGAATGGTTCAATTAAACAAGTAATCGAGTGTAAAAAGGATTTGCTCGTAATTTTCTTGAATACTTGTTGTAGAACAGTCATGAGCGGGAGTTAGAGAGCGAAGAGTGCCGGCGCCAGAGTGGTATGGATGGTTTTTGTTGACAACCTAAGCAAACGTGTCTCAAGAAGAGCACTGAGAGAGGTCTTTAATCACTATAGTAAGGTTACCCAAGTCTTTATCCCCAAAACATTAGGAAACCCATATACAAGAACTCCACATTTGCATTTGTCTGTTTTGCTACTCACAGTGATATGGAAAAAGGTATTAGCAAAATGAACAAAGCAAAATGGATCTACTCAATTAAACAAGTATCGAGTGTAAAAAGGATTTGCTCGTAATTTTCTTGAATACTTGTAGAACAGTCAAATTAGCAAAACAGGGCAATTCTCCAAAGAGTTGTTTGTAAGTATCAGATCGATGAATGAGATGGAAGGTGCGTGGGACAAGCGGGAAAACGATATATCTTTTTTATTTAGTTACCTTCTTCCTCTCAGGAATGTCTAAAGCCAAGCTCTTGCTTTCTTCTTCTGTAAACTGAAAGGAGTTGCTCTCTAATTATGGCACGAGAGCTTCTTCTCAGCTCTGGGTAATAGATGGGACTTATATTGGCATTGTAGAAGCCACAAGGAACTTGGAAGACCTATCCACTACCTGAATGATTATTAGGGCGACAAGTATATTTGATATTCCCAATTTCATAAACGTTCGAGCAAGCGGGAGGGACTTTGTCATCAAGGTCAAGTTGCCAGGGGGGCAATGGAGCAACCAGACCAGAGAAGTGAAGAAGTTTCGGGTAAGGTTGTTGATGATTGAAGACCAGAAGAAAATGATAATCCGATCATTCCATATCCCGGTCTGGAAGTTAATAAAAATCCGTCCATTTTTTGGCAAGGTTGGAGCGACGAGTTCATCTCTGACGTTAAACTTGGGTAGGACGGTTGTGATGGAACAAACTGAGCGGGCTATAACTGGCAGTGCCTTAAATCTTGGTGCTGGGATGCAATTTCGAGAGAACAGCTGCAGTTTTTAATGGGAATTTATTGCTCAACATGCATAACGCTAAGGAAAATAATTATGTGATTGGGAATGAAAATTATTTTTGTATTGCAGCTGACACATCCATTGTATGCAGAAGAATGTCACCACGAGGGTTATCAGTGGGGTCGGCTTCAGAATTTGTTCCCTCCTCTCCTTTTTCATCAACATGTGGGCTAGAAGATGGGGTCTTAAGTGAATATGGATCGACTAATTTTTATGATATTTGGACCCATCTGATATTGAAAAGAAATGGTCCAATTATTCCATGGAGGCATAACCAAATTCTAGGCTGGCTATTCCACAAATATTTGACTCTGTAGACCTGGTCGCTGATATCATAAGAAGTGGACTCATCTCTCCTATATTTCAAAATGCAGAAGGTGTGAAGGGGGATGCAACTCAACCGATTCCGTCCTTGATTGTTCTAACTCCCTCCTCGCGATGGGAGCTAGAAGAGGCGGAGGTTGTTTAGGACAATTATATTTTGAAATTATCATTCAAAGGTGGAAAAGAAGCGGTAATTGAAAAGGTTTGTGCCCTAGAAGAGAAGCTAAGGCAGGTTGTGTGAGAGTCTAGGTTCGGTTATAATTGTGTTTATTGGGGTTGTTCTAATTCCAAATGAATTTCGCAGTGGTAACATGGAATAATAGGGGTTTTGGGAGGTCAGAAAGGTTAGAGCAGCAAATAGATTAATCAAAATATTGAAGGCGAAGATGGTTTTTTTCCAAGAAACTGAAATGGAGGAAGTGAACCAAGCCATCTGTAGGAGAAGTTAGAGAAGAAAGGAACTGGAGTGGGTGTCAAGTCTTACCATTGGCTTGGCTAGAGGGATTTAAAGCATGTGGGAGCCTTCGTTTTTCAAAGAATCAAGTAAAATAATAAGACAAAAGTTCGTTGTTGTGATAGGTATTGTCTTGAGTAAGAACCTTATTGACGGTTTCATCAACGTTTGCGGTCCATCGATAGATGCGGATAAAGAAGCATTTTTCAATGATCTCTATGAGGTAATGGCCAATCATCAGAATGCATGGTGTGTAGGAGGAGACTTCAATGCTTTCCTCTCTCAAGAAGAAAATCAATGCTTCAGATAACTTTAGGATAGTTGGGTGGTTCCGAGAGATCATTCATAGAGCTGAACTGATTAACCTACCAATGATCGAGGAGGCGTTTATATGTCTAATAATCAGGAGAATGCATCTTTTGTTAAACTGGACAACTTTCTAGTTTCGAGCAACTTGCAAATTTTTCAGTCATTCATTCAGAAACTGTTGTCGAAATCAATGTCTGACCACAATGCGGTGTTAAACGAGGAAACAACAAATTGGGGCAAGAAACCGTTTAGGTGTTCCAATTTCTAGCTGGACGAGCATAGCTTTGTGTCAACAATAGTCTGCTATCTATGGAGCAAAAGAAGTTGGAGGAAACAACTCAATTGAGTATGTCTTGCAAGCTTCAAAACTGGCAGCTCAAGAATGGTCTGAAGAGCAATGTTTCGACTTCTAGAAAGTCATAGGTGAATTGGAAAACATAATTAGTAAGGTTGAACGGGAACTTTAGTTAAGGGAGAAGATAAGAATCTATCCTAGAAACTTTGAAGCCTCAAATTTAAGTTGTGGGAAGAGTACTAGAAAGAGGAAAGATCCTAGCTACATAAATCAAGAATCAAATGGACAGTGGAAGATGATCGCAACACTGGGTCCTTCCACGCTGTTGCATCCTCAAGAAGAAGGCATAACTCTATTGTAGTGTTGCATGAAAATGGGGTTTGCGTCAATGATCCGGAAGAGTTAAGAACATGATTCAATCTTACTTTCACAAGTTGTATAACTCCAAGACGGCACTAGAAATTCTAGACATCAACCTTCCCTTCTCTAAAATCTCATCGGAGAAGGCACGCCTCCTGGAGGGCAAATTCGAAGAAGAGGAGATTTTGCAAGTGTTAAGGAGTTCGGATGGGAATCGGGCCTCAGGTCTGGATAGGTTCAACTTTAACTTCTTTAAAAAGTTTTGGCCCGATCTCAAGGAGGGGATTATAAGGTTTTTTTATCACATTTAATCTAGTTGTTAACTGGAAGACTGCTTGAATCACTCCATTGCATTAATACCAAAGAAAGTGAACCCTCAATCACTGGAAAACTACATACCAATTAGTCTTGTCAGAGGGATATACAAGTTGCTGAGTAAAGTGCTAGTCAACAGCCTGAGATTGTTGTTGGGATGCAAATCTCAATTTGCATTCATTCCGGGGAGGCAAATATTGGATTGTGCCATGATTGCGATTGAAGTAATTGACTCAGTAGGGAAAAGCGACAGATCGAGGGTGGTTTTCAAAACCGACTACAAGAAAGCCTATGACATGATTGATTGGGGGTTCTTAATCCTAATTCCCAAGGACATGGGGTTCAAAGCTTGATGGTGTAAGTGGATATTCAATTGCATCTTGTCGGCATCCATCTCTATGCTTGTTATCGGATCCCCACTAACATGTTTCAACTGATAAGAGGGCTCAGACAGGGATGTCCTCTCCTACCTTTGCTCTTTAACCTAATTGGTGAAGCGCTCAACCTAATGATAATAAAGGCAATACAAATCGGGATGTTCCTGGGATGTTTTGTGGGAAACGACACATCTGGAATGGAGATATTACATCTACAATATGTGAATGATCTAATCATGTTCTGCGGAGCATCCAAAACACAACTACAGAATATGAAGAGGGTGCTCAAAGTATTCGAACTTACATCAGAGTATTCAAGTACAGAATATGAAGGGCATGCTCTTCGGCATCAATACAAATGAACAAGAACTGCTGGACTACGCAAATGAGATTGGATGTGCAGCTGGAAGCTTTCCGGTAGAGTATTTAGGACTCCCGTTAGGAGCCAAATGGAACTCTAGATCTTTTTGGGAGCCTATAACCGAGAAAGTGAGAACTGGCTAGCTAGATGGAAATCTTGTTGTCTATCTTTTGGGGGGAGGATTGCTTTGATTAAGTCATACTATCGAACCTTCCGATTTACTTTTTATCTATGTTCAAATTAACAGTTGCAATGTACAATAAACTAACTAGTAGTGTCTCGAGATACCTTTAAGGCAACACTTCGACAAGGAAAGGGATCCACTGGATCAATTGGTGTGATGTCTGCAAACCAATTGATCATGGAGATCTAGGAATCATGGATTTTAGTTCAAAAATAATGGTCTCCTCAGCAAGTAGTGTTGGAGGTTTGCCAACGATCCTAGGAGCCCATGGAAGTAGATCATTGCTGCCAAGTATAATCTCAACCCCCTCGATATCCTCCTCCCAAATTTGTTGTTGAATGGGGTGTCGTGGATTTGGCGAGAAATTCTTAAAATTTGCAATGGTGCTGCAAGGGCTTTCAATTTGAAGGCCCACTTCCAGTTATAGGTGGGGGACAATAGAGAGATCAGATATTGGCATGTTGTTTGGATCAAAAACCATCCCCTCAAAGACCTTTCCTCGAGAATCTTTGCTTTGGCAACAAATAAAAATGGTTGGGTTGCTGATTTCAGTTCCAATAATGATTCGAGTTGGAG